GAGCTCCCTCAACTCGCGCAGGAGCCGCACCTTCTCGAGGTCTTCATCCTCGACCACATCGGAGAAATCGGTCCCTTTCGGCTCGTAAGCGGAACCACCTCGGCCGCCAATGCGGCTCAGGTAGGCATCGCCGAACTTGGCCTTCCGTCCAGTGGAGGTGTCCTCGTCATACTTGTTCGGCCTGTTCCGAACACTGTCGATCTGGTAGTCGATCTGATTCTCTTCAAAGCTGGCTCTCAGACTCGGAGGAACGGTGCGCGGTATCCGGAACCCCTCGTGACGGTAGTTGAGAATGTGTAGAAACGCGAGACAAGCATCCTTGGATATGGAATTGCGGCCACTCGTGTTGACCAGATTCCAAGCGCTCCTCACATCCGTGTCCGGCACGTCGAGACTGCCGTAGAGGGTGTGCAGGCTCTCAAAGCTGATCTCTCCCCTGCGGTCCTTGTTCGCCGAATAGATCTCCTCGTACTTGCGCTTGTCTCCCGGGTTCATGTACCAGTCAAACCCATCTTTCAGCCCGGCGTCTTCTTCGTCGTCCTCGATCCGCTCAAACTGCGCCTGCGAATGGCCGGTCAAGGCGCGGTTCGCCTGGACCAGGTGCGCTTTACTCTCGGGGATCAGCCAGTCCGGCAGGCTTTTCGGCACGTCCTGGTATTCCCCGTTGACCAGGTCGAAGATCAGGCGCATGGCGACACAGAACTCTTCAAAGTCCAGCTCGCCGTCGCCGTCGACGTCGGCGAGATCCCACACCCTCTCGAGTTGGTCATCTCTCAGCTGCGAGTTGCGGAGGACGTTGGCCGCGGCCTGGTTGGTCAGCCGCGAGGACGGTGAGGCGGGCTGTTGGACCAGCGACGAGAAGATCTCCCAGTATCGGTCAATCTCCCACTTCTCGATCCGCTTGGCGCCAGACATGTTGGAAAGGAAGCGGTGGATGGGGGCGCGTTCAGGGTCGAACAGTGGCAGGAATACTAGGTAGGCACGTACGTAGGTAGGGGAGTTTTGAGGTGGGCGGGGGAGGCGCAAATCGACGGAAAAAATCAATGCTCAAGCAAAATACATGCCAGACGCTCCAAGAAATGCTCAACCGACTTTAGCACCAATGTCTGGCGTGTAAGACTGACAATAGCAGAGTAGCGGTTGCTGCGTTGCGCAGGCAGCTCTGTGTACGGAGTACGAAGGACCATGTATTGTGAAGGGTAAGCGACTCCGACGATGGGCCTTAGCTTTAGCCTCATGTAGCTTCAGCCTCAACCAGAAGCCACAAGTTCCCATATTACAGTGTGAATCACGAGTGATCTCGAAGTCACTTCTCGAGCGGGATTTCATCATTGTCCAAGGAGTACGGAGTACCAATCTCGTACTTGTTGACCCCCCATTCATTCCCTCCCTTTGGCGAGGCCGACGGCCTAGGCTGCCCACTGCAGTTATGTAGCTCCTACATCACCGGGTCAATTGCGTGAACTCATCGTCGTCCCATGTCAAACCTTCTGTAGGCGAACGGGAGTCGACGTGGCTACTGATTCATGTCATGCGGCAATGTACTCGGTATCTCAGATGGAATACGCTGTCTGAGTTGTTGCAACTGGCTGCAGATTCAACGAGCTAGCTATGGCTGAATGCATGTGTTACTTCGGTCGTCTCTTCTCGTTCCCAGCATTAAACTACACAGGCACAGGGCATCCGAAGCTGACGGCCACGGTGCCGCCAGGGCCGAAAACAGCAATCAGACCTTCAATAGCAGCCCAGGTACCCATGCCACAGCATGCGAGGCCGAGGAGAACGTAGATCAATGCAATTGTGCTTCGGAACCACGTCTTCTTGTAGCCTCTGATCCATCGCTTCAAGCCGTCGTCGTGCCGAATGGTCTCGCGGGTGGCCGGGTTGAAGCCTTCGCCAGGAAGTTCAGCAGCCTTGTGGATGATGGTGCTTATGTACATCATGCCTGGGAAGGTGTATGTAAAGTTCATCATGAAGACGGCGCCGACAAAGCTGACAATGCCGTTGAGGTTGGGCACCGCCCCAGCAACGACGAATGCGAGGATCCAATAGCATGGTCCCAAGAGGTACCAGAGGATCTTGCCCTTCTTTTCGACAATTGAGGGGAATTTGAAGACAGCCTGAAAGACTTCCAGGTACACCGTCTTCATGCCGATGTTGAAGTACATGATGATGGCGATCCAACCGGAGAGAAGTCGGAGCACGTTACCGGCAGTCTGCAGGCCATATGGATTGACCACGTTCACGATGTTGTTGGCAGAGTATTGGCCGTAGAAGGAGTAGACGAAGACACCGAAGAACATGTAGACGAGGCAAATGAAGGCTTGGGCGAGGAACATGCCTTTCCAGAAGTCCAGCGGATGTCTCATTTCGGAGAGGAAGGCCACGAAGAGGAGAGCGCCAGCGTATGCGTAGACCATGGTGTTGACAGCGTTGAATGTGGCCGCAAACCCCGGAGATTGCTGCTGATACTGATCTGGTGGGATGCCAGCAAAAACCTTGATCGGCTCAATAGTCTGAATAAGCGTCGACCTGGTGATTGCCGGGTAGTAAGGCGCGAAATGTGAGCAAGCCACCATACTGTCGGAACACTGGTCAGCAAGTAATGTCAACGGACGCCCGAGGAAGAAGACTGACCAGATGATGAAGTTCACAATGTTCATCCACACGGCGGCATTTGAAATCCATCCAATCTTTCTCAAGCTTCGAATGAATCCTCCAAGCATTCCGACAGCCATGATGACGACCATCATAGCTACGAAGCACACGCTGGAATGAGCAATCTGCTCAATGTTCAAAGCCTTGCTGAAGATCAAAATGGCCACGGTGAAGAATTGCTGGAGCGATTGGGCGACGTTGATGAAATGGCGCATCCGCACGCCGAAGAGGCGCAAAAATGGGTCACCAAAGCTCTGCATCGGGTAGCGAGATGAGTCGAGATCGAGGAAGGTTTTCCAGATGACCCAGCCGCCCCAGGCGGCAAAAACGCCGAAGATGAGGTAGAGAGCGACACCAGTGCCGTAGCCCACGCTGGCAAAGACAAACCTATATTACATTGTCAGTCACGATCTGGATCTATCTGATTCTCGAGGAGTACTGACGGTGCGCCTGACCACCCGAGAATGTCGGTGGTGATGAGGAAGAACATCTGCCCCCAGCTGGCCGTTCGGAGGGCACGAGCAGCATTGCGCCATTCCGCGTCTGAGACCTTCAACGCAGACTCGGCAGACCGGTCATGGTCAACGTCGGTGACAACACCGGTCGGCTGCTTCTCGTTGAGATGCGCCAAGGTCTGAAGTCTGCTCTCCTTTTCAGCTTTCGCCTTCTTTCGGCCTTCCTTTGAAAAGACGTTCTTGATCGAGTCGCGAAGAGGGGAGCCGTGCTCGGCCTGGAACACTTTGTTCTCTTCAATCTCCATTTCACGCTCGAGCTTGGCCCAGTAGACGTATTCTTCGTACGTCACAGTGCTGTCGGTACGTGCGGCGAAACCCCATACGCGCTCCATGACCTGCGGCTTCTCACTGGGCGCGACAGATGGCTTGCGCATCTGCTGCTCGGTCACCACATCCAGCTCCGGGGCCGGATGTGTCACTGGGGCGATATGCTCCATGGCTGACGACAGTGGATTGAGTGAATGAAAGAAACACAGGAACGGAGTCGTGTGCTACAACGAAAGCAGGGTCGTCGTTGCTGTTAAATGGCTCGCATCCCCAGCGGTCGCCCTTCCGATGTAACATGGGATGAACACACAGCAATCGGGCAGTTGCGATGTAGCCATTGGCGGCCCCTGGAAATTGCGTAGGCGGCGTTAGCGGTATCTGGTGCTCCTCTTGATAAGATGAAGCTTGCTTGGGTGGCACTCTTGATACGATGAAGCTTGCTCGGGTCGTTCAAGCACGACGAGAAGCGCGGCTGCGATTGGCGGGGTGGCCGTAAGGGTCCAAAACTTGATCGGCCATCGTGGTGGAGGCTGGTGGTGTGCCATTTTCGACTTGACAAACGAGGCAGGCGTAGAGACGCAGCGTTTCATCGCGTGCTGTGAATGCAGCGGAGACACGGCTCACGATCAGATAGCCAGCGTGGGATCTGCGCTATAGACTGAATTTCCCCCGGGCACGCTAAGCACGAATCATCCCCGAGCGGGAAGGTGACAAGCTTCTCAGCCGGAAAGCTTCCTTCCATTCGCCGAGGACTCTCGAGGATCATCAGAAACCTTGGTCGACCTTGGCAAATGGCAAATCCGTCTTGCTCGGACGAGGACTCCGTACCCCGTACCGGATTACTTTGGTCGGAGATAAATACGCATACGGATCGCGTGTCCGTCACGCGGTCAGCACGTGACAAAGCACGTGTACTGGGTAATGAGAGGCGGCGAGGCCCCAAGACAGGGCGCCCTTGTCGGTCGTACCCTATTCTGAGCGCGAGCCCATCCTTGGGGAGGGGGGGCGGTCATCATTGGTATCTATTCCTGTGGCGTGTTCCACGTGGAGGTGCCGAATGTCCGCTGGAAACTGAACCTGATGGAGCACCGACAGAGGACGGAGAGGCGATGTCTGTGCGAGGTAGTTCACAGCTCAGCATGAACACTCGCAACTTGTGGTGATAATGTCCTGCCGATGACCAGCGAGAGTAGGTACGACGGGCTCGCCTGAGCGGTACTTTCGAGATTATGCTATGTTGATGTCTTTCCACCCATCCTTCATAGCAGCATCAAATCTTACATGCTTTCTCTGCGTATATGCGCCATGGTCTTCCACCCACCTTCACAACATTGGCATGAACGTGTGCGGATGGGTGCTTGGCACATCCTCTCTGCCAAGCATGAAACGGCACCGGCAACGGGCTCTCACTATCACTACTAGATGCTCTGAGCTCCAAGCGCGCAATCGTACCAGTCCGAGCCTCGGGCCTCTTGTTCAGCTACTTCAAGGTCTTGCGTCTCCCGGCGGACACCCAAGAGCCGACGCCTCATTGATCAGTTGTCCTCGTGCCACATCCCACTACTTGAATGATACCTCATCGGCGAGAGCAAGGTACTTCTTGTAAGTATCCTTGTACTTCGCTGTTTCGAGCTTTTGGGCGGCAACGCACAACGGGCAGCGGGGACCTTCGATCATCGCAGTCTTTGTTGTCTTACCACCACTGACTCGCTCTTCACTTCCTCCCCATTGGCCCGCATTGTCACGGTGGGTGGTGTCGATGAATTTGAGGCAGGAGTAACAGAGGCGGTACTTCGCGGGCATGTCGGTCTTGAGACGGACGAGCATCTGGAGGCGATGGACGTCAGTGGCGCGTTTCGGAACATGTTGGATGTAGTCTTTCTTGTTCTTCTCCGTCTTGAGCTGGTCGTAAACTGCGGCTTGATCCTTGCAGGTGAGACCGAGGCAAGCACGATCAGTTGTAGTTGGGAGCGCTTTAAAGATCATGTTCTTAACTTCGACTGGGAGCTTAACGAGGTTATGGTCCTTGTTCTTGATGGAGCCGGATTTATAGACCTATAGAGTAAATATAAGCTTATGTTAACGCCACTAAGGAGTATACTACCTTTGTAGGAACCTTCGGATTACCGAGACGGACACAGCGCTTCTTCATACGGTTGGCGATCTTCTTGTGTCTTCTTCCAGTCTCTACAGCTTTCTTAAATAATTTGTAGGACTTCGTAAGGTTCTCTTCCACCTCAACAAACCTAACGACGTCAGTAAAGGCCAAACGTCGGGTGTAGGAACCACGCTGACTTACTCCTCATTTGTAGGGATTGGATCAGCAGGCATCGCTGCGATGTGCGATGAAACTGGTGAACTATTGAATTGCCTTGGTGTTAAAAGCTCAATGCCAGGGGTTCTGAGCAGTTTGAGAAGAAGAGAGAGGAAGTTGTCTGGTGAGATAAAGAAAGAAAGAAAGAAACGAATGAATCTGAGTGGGAAGATCTCTAGTGACATTGAAGACCACGGCGCCAAGGCACTCTTTATACCATACCAAGACGACATCATAGGTGCCAGTGAATGATGGTGGGCGCCGCGGATGTAGTGTCTTGTTGATAGCTCAACTTGGTGAGGCGCGGTCGGAGAGATGTCTCTGTGTTGGTGGAGAGGCGTCTTCAAGGAGTGCTTCCTGGGTACTTTATTGTTTTGCTTCTCACCATTCCCGACTGTTTTAACAACGTCCAGACGACGAGTTATGGGACGCTGTTGGGACCAAAAGCTCCCCGGGGTATATGAGATTGTTACCCAGGACTTGCGATCTGCGTCGATGGCGGTCAAACCCAGCGAACACTGTACAGGCCCAAGCAGCCTGCGGCCGCAAGGCGTCACATCAAGTTCGAGGCGGTCACTCATCGCTCCCGCCTTGGGCGTTTACCTGCTGTTGCCGTGTGAAAGACGCCCATCTCGCAAGCGATCAGAAGTACTGGAATGTGTACATTCGAAGATGGCCAAATCCAACCGAAGGATGTGGTTCCGGGCGGGCTATTTTTGATGGTCGGCCAGCTGGGCTCTAGCTGGACAGCCGCAAGCGTGATACAGTCTGGACATGATGGGTTGGGAGGCATCTGGGCGTGGTCTAACTATATATTTACAAAGGCCTACTAAGTGAACATTACTTGTAGGTACGAGAGTGTTGCAGTGGCACGTCCTCTACGCTCCTTGGCTGCATTATTACTCCGTACAGGTCGTCGGGTAACCTTCCTAGTTACATAATGCCCAACGAACGAAATAGATTAGAGGCCCACGTGAGGCCTTGTAATACTGTTTAATGAGCTTCAGGTTTCTCGACGGTGACAATCGAGTCGGAAGCATCTTCCCAATGGCTCTGATCGTCGTAACTCCAGAATTCTGCCAGACCTCAGCGGCACTCAGCAGCAGTCGCGAAATGCGTCGGCGGCTGCGCCCCGTCCCTTGGCAGTGGCTGCTGCAGCGTTCTCGGTTATGCATCCCTTGACCTCATCTCCGTGCCCAACTTGCTGCCTATTCCTTTCTCACAGCCTTTATGTCAGTCGGTGGCAGAACCTCCATCGCCATCAACATGGACTCCGAATTCGATGAAACTTGGTCTGATACCTCTGAGGAGGATGAGCGCCGCGACATCACCCCCATTCAGTCACGCGCGTATCAGATAGAGATGTTCGAGCATAGCATGAAAGGAAATGTCATTGCTGTGATGGCTACCGGTATGTCCTCTCTTCTCCCCCTGCTGAACGTCGTCTCGATAGTGTATATTAATGGATGTTCGCAGGTAGTGGAAAGACCCAAATCGCGAAACTTCGCATCCAAGCAGAGCTGGAACGTTCACCGAATAAACTCGTCTGGTTTACTGCCCCCAGTGTCGTCCTGGCGTATCAACAATATCGGTTCCTTTCTCAACACCTCCCAGCCTATCAGTTCCGACTTATTACTGGTATGGACAACGCTGAATATTGGACTTCCCTGGATATCTGGCGAAAGGTTCTATATCACATTCATGTTGTTGTCTCCACCCCCGCTATCCTCCAACAGGCACTTAATCATGGATTCGTGGCTATAAAGGGGATTTCCTTGCTTATCTTTGATGAAGCCCATCACTGCGTGAAAGACTCTTCCATGAATGCGATTATGAGACATCACTACCATCCAAAACTCACCCCAGAAACCCTTCATGAACTCCCGCATGTCCTTGGCTTGTCTGCAAGTCCGATCACTAAGAAAAGAGATGAAGTGGCCGATCTAGAGAATAACCTCAATGCAAAGTGCAAAAGTCCGTTATTGCAACTCGAAGAATATACTACTTTCGTCAACATGCCGGAGCCTTTAGTCCTAACGCACAGCCCAACTCCGCATCACTCTTCAGATCTGCTTGATCGATTGACTGCCACCGTCTGCGCCGTTAACATCGAGCAAGATCCAGCTGTTGCAGTCCTACGGCGAAGTAAGGCTCGATATGCACAAGAGAAACTGGAGAAGATCTTGAGAAAACAACGCACGCCGGCCATGGAAGAAATGCAAGCACTTGTACGATCGTGCACAGACATACAACAAAACCTCGGCGCCTGGGCCTGTGATATGTTCATCAAGAAATGTGTGGAGAAGGTGGAGCTTACGTCGTCTCGTGAACTTGAGTTCCTCGCGACCGAATCCCCTTCCGCTGAGAAGAGCGTCTTCATCGCTTGCACACTGAAGTCTGTACATTTGCCTCTTCGCATGGCTAACCTAGACCTGACCACAACCGGTTCTGTGTCCTCGAAGGTGAAATTGCTTGTGGAGTTTCTCCGAGAATGCTATCAATCTGACCTCCGATGCCTCATTTTCGTCAAGACGAGACCGACCGCGTGGTCACTCACAGATATCATCAACAACCATCCACTCACTCAAGTCAAATACCGCGCATTCTCCTTTGTCGGAGTATCTAATCCAACACACAGAGGGGTCTGTGATTTCGCAGACCTACGCGTCCAACATGACAACTTGGAAAGTTTCAGACGCGGTGGGCTCAATGTCTGTGTTGCTACCTCAGTGCTTGAAGAAGGCGTTGACGTACCAGCTATGAACTTGGTTATCTGTTTTGATGAGCGGCCAAACTTTCGAAGCTTTGTTCAGAGCCGAGGCAGGGCTCGTCAGAGAGAGTCTCGATTTGTCATGTTCCCCGAGGCCGCTTTGAAAAGAACACAATGGCAAGCATTAGAAGATGAGATGAATGAGGAGTGCCAAAAGTCTCTGGACTCTATCGAGCATCGCGAGAGGATGGAGAGAGTTGAGGAGGCTGATAGTGAGATATTCAGAATTCCCTCGACGGGGTAAGTCACATCAAGTTAGAAAATCATTTGCTACCCAGCTTCAACTGACTATTCCAGGGCCGTGTTGACATTTGCAGAAGCACGGCAACACCTGGATCGGTTTTGCGCAAGGCTGCCGAACAAAGACACCGCTGATCACACGGCCCCAGTCTTCATACTTGAAGGTCAGCCCGGCGTCGAGCTACATGCAAAGGTCTACCTTCCATCCTCGCTGCCACCCTGTCTACGGACAGCAAAATCAAGATCGAGCTGGCTGACGGAGAAAAGAGCCAAGCAAGATGCTGCCTTCCAAGCATATCGGGCGCTATACGACGCTGGACTCGTCACAGATCATCTATTACCTTCAGAAGTAGCGAAAGATCAGGAGGCTTCCAAAGAAGACGACGAGGTTGAGAAAAGAGACAGTCTCTATGACGTGCAGAAGCAGTACAATCCATGGCCAAACATCATGGAGCTGTGGGAAGCATCTAATTCGCCCACAGTGTACGCTCATCGCCTCACGATGGAGGCACCGGGCTGCTTCTACCCTTGCATGCTCTTACTTCTGCCCGTCAAGCTCTCTAAGCTGTCATTCTCTCTTTTCACAACGAAAACCGCCGGTTTGAAAGTCACGATTGGTGCCGGGTTGGAGAGGCAAGGCTTCCCACTAGACGTCGCACAAGACATCACGTTTCTGCTCTTGACATCAGTGCTTCAGCGGAGGTTGACAGGGCTCCGGAAAGAGCACTTGCCATCTCTTTTCGTGCCTGATATTGAGCAGGGCTCTCTCTCGAACTGGTATGGCGCAGCCTCAACAAGCATACCAATGATCGACTTCGACCAAACAAACGACGCGAAACGCCAGTCATACCTTGTGCAGGGCAAGCGAAGCAACGTGCCTTTCCTTTGGCAACCGAATGCACTTTATCGTGATGACCATCAAACATATGACGGTAGTGCGCGCAACCGGCCAACGTCGATTAGCGTCACGTTGCTTCCCAGAACGCTGGAGTACTTGCAGCAGGTAACTAAACCAGAGTCTATTCCTGAGGTCGTCAAAGTCCTACTAGTGGATGAATGCTCAGTGCTGGGTCTCCCAAGTGAGTATGGTACCCTTATGCTGTTCATACCGTCTGTCATGCACGTGCTCGAGGTTGCTCTACGGTCGGCTGCAGCGTGTGAGGGACCGTTGACGACTATTGGGTTGGATGATCTTGATCTGGTGTCACATGCTTTGACATTACCAGGAGCTAGCCACACGAGGAACTACGAAAGATTCGAGTTCATCGGCGACGCAATCCTCAAATTTTATGCCGCACTACATGTTTTCGCCGACCATCTAAATTACCCGGCATATCACCTAACCAGAAGCCGTGGGAGGATCATCAACAATGCCCGCCTACAGCGTGCGACAAGGGTTCTGGGCCTAGACCAATACCTTTCACGGAGGGCATTTGCGGCAAAGGAGTGGGCGGCTGGAGTCGGTGAATTGAAACCCTTGGGGAAGCAGCCCTCAAAGGAGCTTTCATCCAAGACTTTGGCAGATGTAGTTGAGGCTGTGATTGGAGTTGCCAGTGTAAGTGGCGGCGAGGGAGGGTTCTCCGAGGAGAAGGTTCTGGCAGCCCTGAAGCTGTTTATCGGGGAAGTTCCATGGAGGCCGCTGTCCGAGATCGTGGCACAGATACATCCTCTGGAGCAGATGTCAGAGTTCGCAGCAGACATCTTGGCGCCAGTCGAGGATATGATCGGCTACTCCTTTCAGCACCGCAGCTTGCTGGCAGAAGCCCTGACGCAGTCAAGCCTTGCCAGCGATGTGCGGTCAACCTACGACCGGCTGGAGTTCCTGGTAAGTCATATCTTCCTCAAAACCTGCACAACTCACATCCAGATATCCGCGCAAACGCCAGTGTTCCCTCAGCTACCTTACTCTTGTCACACTCATTTCCGTGGGATTTCCTTTATACTGAGACAGGCTCTGACATGTTACAGGGCGACTCCGTGCTCGACTACATAGTTGTTCCAAAACTCTTCCACAGTTCCCTTCGACTTGGGCCTGACCAGATGTCAGTCCGACGTGCTGCTCTGGTCAGTCATCAAACCTTGGCATTTTTCGCACAGAAGACTTGCTGCACACGCAGCTCCTTCCAAGTGCATACAGATCCTCGCACCAAGAAAAGCACCGATACGGAGCAGCACCAGACGATCTATCTCACCGACTACATCCGCCAAGTAGGCAATCAACACGCGCCTCGGGAACGACAAGCAACACTATCGAACTTCTGTGAGATTCAAGCCTCAATTCTCGAATTCTTGGGTTCCGGGACGCGGTTCCCATGGACTCTACTCTCTCGCCTCGGAGCGCCCAAGTCTTTTTCAGATATCATTGAGTCCATCCTGGCGGCTGTTTTCATCGACTCGAGAGGCAATCTGGGCGCCTGTGAGGTAGTCCTCGAGACAATGGGATATATGAGTCTCGTCCGTCGGTTCGCCAATGAAAGAGACATCGACACCCAACACCCAGAGTCGAAACTGCACGAGGTTATTCAGACCCAATTCCGTGAGGGTCCCCAGCCTCCGCTAGAAATCGTGACGCAAGAGCGGAAGAAGAAAGGTGAACCCGGCACGGATTGGCGATGTAGGGTCATGATCGACGGCAAGCTGATCGCACGCGTGAAGCATGCAAGTTGCAGTGACGAAGCACGTTACGCGGCTGCAGAGAGGGCTGTGGAAGCGCTGCGGAAGAAAAGAAAGAGAGGCTCCACAGAGGTGCAGCAAGACGCGCCAAAAGAGCAGCTTGAGCAAGAAGAGGAAGAGTCAAATGACTGCCTGGACACAGTGGAGAGGCAATGAATGTGCACGGACACAGCACGATCAAGACAGAAACGATTAGAATACCGACAGGGCCAGTGCAATGGAACTCATATGTCGCAGATTGGACGAAATAGGTGGCGAAACGTTGACGCACGAGGGGCCCTCCTGACCGCAAGCCGCCTGGACACCCCGACAAGGCAAGGGTCGAGACCAATGCAAACCAGAAAAGTCTCGAAAGCCAAAACAACGTCGGGTGAGGGAGCTAGAGCGAAGCTGGTCTTCATCTAAAGGAGCCACGGATATCTGTCGGATTGTGGTGACCACAATATGTTCCAGGTTGGTCAGAGCCCGTTCAGTCTACGACGTCGTTGAGACGGTGGCGGATAGCTACGACTAGTCTGCTCTGAAGTCCTGCATACAGGATCCATTGTTCACAGTTTCAATCTCCTCGGACTGGTATCTACCCGCTTACGAATCGCCGTAGGGCTCCAGCTGAGACATCGGGCTACCCCTTCCATCTGAAATGAATACAGCCGTCCATCCCCGCAAGGCTGGTGTAGCCCCCAGGCCAAGACTTGTGGTCCACGTCTGTCAAGGCATCAGGTGGCGAGAACAGGGAAGATGGCGACAGCTTGTTCCAGAAGATAGCCGAACGACCCATGGCTCGATGAAGTCTAGTTCTCGAGACATTCACGGCGGAGTTGGGACCTTGTTCCTCATTTCAGAGAGCGTCACGCCGGTCGATGGCTATGGACTAGGCACAATATCACCACGTGCGTGGCGCTTCCGAAGATGAAGGATGAGCAGAGAGAGCGATAACGGGAGTCATGTGGGTGATATTATGCTTCAAGAATGGGTAAAAGTGGCTTCACCCTGCAGCCTCAGACACGAACTGCGTTATGTGAACAGGCCGAATCCAGGCCGAGGCAGGGCGATGCTCCGGACGACCATTGACTTGGCAATCGCATTGAATGATTGACTCTCAGGTGAATCTCAAGTGAATCTCGACTGAGGGTAAACGACGCTGGATAAAAGGCGAAACGGTCAAAGGCAGACGGAAGAAAGCATGATTGGCTGAATGCGTGTATGGAGGCTGCGCCATAAATAGACGTCGCACGGGACGCCCAGAGCGGCTAATCCATCCTGGGGATTAGCGCCGCTTTACGCGCCGAGGCTAGACCGCTCTCAGCTCGACGGCCAATCGATGTCCATTCCCCTCGTCTGCCCCTCCTTGTCCTCCTCACACTCTCTTCCAATTGTACTTTCCCAATCATGCTTTGCTCCAACGTCCTGCCAACACGTCTCAGCACTATTGATACTATTCTGCTGCGCGTCTCGCTGGCTGCAGCTCTCTGGGTCGTGGTATTGGCCTACCGATCCTCCTCAGCGTCCTGTCTATGCTTGTTGTGGATTCCAGACCCGGTCCACGGTGGCCAGAGCCAATGGAGACACATCCGATCTGTATCTCTTCCCAATGCGTGAGAGAGTGCGTGACGATGCATTGCCGCTCAATTATCCATCAAGTCTCGAGCGAGCCGCCGATGTGGCCTTCACGGCGCTTCAGTCCAGGCCACCACCCATCCATCCCTCACTGCTTCAGGCTCTTTAGCTTTTCTCTTTCCCATGTACCTTCCTCCTGTCCACCTCTCCCACCTCATCGTCGCTGAAGTTGCTGGTCGCTGTCAGCTTTCCTTCGTTAAGCCAATTCTTTTTGCACCTGCGCCTGCGTATGACCGTTGATCGGCGACGCATAGAACTTTTAATACTGATTTGTCTAGACATCAGATATTCCGGAACCGCTGGGCGGGCACACGATCCCAGCAGTCGACGAAAACCGCCGGCAAACTATCCTCGTAATATCCTGTGCAGGCTGGTCCTCGCAAACATGAGCACTTTACCGTCTACCACCTATCAGTCCCCACCTCGACTGGGTCGGGGTCGGCACCTTAATACTATCCTCGAGGAAAAGGAAGATGCGAGTCACGGCATGAAGAGTGACAGCGAGGGGGACGGAAGCGACTCGACCATCATCGGTCGTCCTGCGGCATGGGATCCAAAGCTCTTCACCGCCACGGCGCGGAAAACTTCGCTCATGAAGACAGCCTATCTGTCCTCGCCCGTCTCCTCGTGTGAGCAATCTCCAGCCAGCAGTGCCGGGGAGGGCTACCAACGAAACTCAGTACGAAGCTCTTTTGCTGGCAGTGATGCTGGAACAGTCTTCAGTGACGACTGTCCCTCCCTTGCCAGTGACCCGACCAGCTTTGCCTCCCAATCTAGCCGCAGCAGCTTCGCGAGCGAAAAATCCAGTCGAAATCGATATCCCGCCTTGTACATCCCCAGAGATTCGTGGGGCTCCATGGATGGAAGTCCAATCAAGGAGATCACCTTGGGCATGTCCCCTGCTACCAAGATCCGTCTGTCGCCCACGGCGCTATCTGCCCTGCCACGAGATGTACCGGCAATCAATGCACCACCGTCACTCGGGGACAGCAATAGCAGCGTCTCTGATTCCCCCTGCACCACGAGAAATAGTGCACCGGTCACGCCCGACATGAGACAATTGGGGGAGACTTGGGGCAATCCACCTCCTACATCACAGCACCTCGAGATAGCACTCGATGACAATCATAGCGTGATACTATCTCCAGCTGAAGCCCACTCGGACAACTCTGGCGCGAGTCTCACATCTCCAGTAGCCTTCACAGACATGATCATCAACTTCCCCACAGTCCCGGGCGCAACTCCTCAGGACCTTTCTCCGTTGATGCCCACTATTGACGAGATCAAGAAATTTGACCATGAAGTGCCGGCTCATGGCTCTGAGCTCGGGGTGAGGCTTCCCCCCGATGCTCTACAGCTTCTGCAGCGTCTTGCCGGACAGAAAAGCGCGGATGATCTGTCGACTACCTCCGGAAGCAGTCGACCATCTGTGAAGTCTGGAAGACGGCAAGAAATGCGAGAGCGTACGGCTCCCGAACCTGTTAGTCGACCTCGCAGTGCCGATGGCGAGACTCCGGTCTCCGACTACAGCTTCTCACAGCTTAGCATACCCTCGCCCGGAGGATTCTTCTCGTCTTTGCAGAATGCCTCCCGTCATACGTGGTGCCTCAACAAGTCCAAGGCGCCCAGCATGCCAAACACAGCCACAGCTGAGAGTTTCTACAATCGACCTTGGGAGAGCGGTTCAAGAGACAATGTTGTGGAAACCGTCTTGACAGTTGATGATACAAATCTGACCGAAGGACCACCAACCGCAAAGCAAGACACCTTCCATTTGGGACACCCCACGGGACGTAGGAGCGACCATTCGGAAGACGACGACCTTTACGGACCTGGCAGTGATGGGCCTAAGGCTTCAGCATCTCCTCCCGTCAGCTTCGAATATGACGAGAAGTATTACGACGACCTCCAGCAATCTGCAGGTCAAAACCTGGACCGGACAGGATCATGGCTTGCCGCGCAAACGGATTTCCTCTCCGCGATCCTGGACTCAGACCCCAACACCCAGCTGTCAGACGATGACACCTCAGAAGAGACTAGGAGCAAACCAGCCCGTCGGACTGTCACGTTCGCTGAGCAACCAAAGGCAGACACGGCTTTGGGCGGGACTCGACAGGAAAAAGACAGTCCCGACTCCGAACCCGAATCCAGAGAACCAATCTTTCTTTCCGCCTTCCAACACCTAGTCAAGGTACGGAAGCAGAGAGATGCATTCATCCATGCCTCGTCTCGCCTGGAAGCCACGCAGAACAATCGCATTGCTCTACAGGAGAAACACATCACTAGCCTGCTCGGCCAGCACACTCTTGTTGACCCAAAGCGTCCGAAGTACTCCGGCCCGTTCAGTCAGAACCCTCGACAAACCGGTGTGTTCGAGCGCACACCTGAACAAGTCGCGTATGAAGCAGTCGAACGTGAGCAACTGGCTGTCGCATCAGTCGAGCAGTCAAACTGGCAGGTTGACGCCCTGAAGGCCCTGTATCACGGTCGTCTCCTTGCCTCCCCTGCCGCTTGTCGGCGATTGAAGAATAAGTCCACACTTCCACTTGACGATCCGACATGCGTGGGAAATAAACGGCTTCACATTCTGGACCTCGGCGGCGCTGCCTCCGCCTCTTGGGCCTGGAATGCCGCACTCGAATGGCCCAACGTGAAAGTATATACGGTCATCAGCAAAGACCAAGCACGAACGCAACGACCCGCTGGTCAGGCCAAGCCAGAAGCACCGCCAAACCACCGCACAATATCCGTACCACACCTCTGGCAACTGCCCTTCCGCAGTGGACACTTCGACGTCATCTCCGCGCGTTCCCTTCATGTGCTTCTCAAGAATAACCCTGTCCCGAGTGCACCCTCAATCGACGAATGGGACTTGACTCTCCGAGAATGCATGCGCGTGCTCAAACCAGGCGGATACCTCGACTACATGATCATGGACTCCAGCATCGCTCACGCCGGCTCCCGTGCGGAAGCCATGTCGGTGGAATTCGGCTTCGAATTGCACCGCCGGGGCTACGAGCGCGAGGCGGGCAGAAGCTGGCTCAAGAGGCTGAAGAGGGAAGGCTTCGTGGGCGTCAAGCGTGCGTGGATGTTCCTGCCCATGGGGAAACGACCACCGGAAGAAGCCGAGGAGCAAATTCATGGATACACTGGCGGCTGGCAGTCTTGGCGGCAAGGCGCCAAACCATTTGTCCCGGCGCCCAGGCCGATCAGCGAGGTGTCGACAATCAGCAAGATCGTCAGACAATACATGGATGTCGAGGCCGTACAAGGACCCATTGGCTCTACGCAAGACGTCGCCGATCTCACGGGCTTGCTCGGAGCCAGGATGTGGGAAGAGTGGCTTGTCAAAGTCCGGGCCGAGTCTGGCCGCGAGGAATCTCGTTGGCTCGAGGGTGTAGATGAAATGATTGAGGAAGGCAAGGAGCAGGGGTCTGGCTGGAAGGTTTTGATCGGCTGGGCGAGGAAGCCGAAACCTACAAAGTCCCCAAAGGGTGAAAGAGCTGAGATTACAGTCGCGGTGGAGGATATCGAGGTATTGACGAGCGGGGATGACTCCATTGAGACGGGCATGATCCCTATGCTCATTCAAGAATGAGACATACGTACCTCTCTGGTGAAACCCATTTAGTTGGTGTTGTGGTTGGTGTCGGGGGTTGGTGTTCTTAGGCAATTAATGGTCTGGTATAGCCTGGGATGATCGCAGCATAGCAAGCGGGAGTTACTCTGCTGGGATGAATGGAGTGTGCTCGTGTGGTATTCGGGACAAGGTTGGATTGGATGAGCAGGACGGACGCAGGGAAGCAGGAAAGCAGGGGAAGGATGTATGAACACTTTCACACGGGTTACAGCCGACAGTACCGTAACCACAACCGCCTTTGCTTCTGGGAGCGACCTTTCTCTTTTCTCTTGACGTATATAGGTAGCATAGTAGGCTGTCCAAAACTACAAGTGTCACTTTGATCTCTGATGTTGGTGCTCTGAACAACCAAATGGCGTCCTCGATGAAAGATGGTCACGATTTCTGCACTCTGTGGGTGTGCAGCCAGCCGGATGCCATCCGCTTGCAAAGAGACTGATGGTTGGGTTCAGAGAGAATTATGCCTTCGAAACCACGCTTTCCAAGCGTGACCGCGGTACCGTCGATCATCTGGGTTGGAAAGAATATGGAACAGTCTCTCGAGGTCGAGGCTGGTAAATAGCATCAACTTCGGAGTACTCCACCGAGCCGACGTTTGGTCCGTACGGTGCATTTTTAGACGCCGGAACGCACTATAAAACCGATGAGCTTGAAATTATTAATTGCCTTGGATTGCATCACCATTGAACAGTCCATCCTACTGTCACTCATTTGCGCGTCGAGGTTGACTGGCATGTTTTATTCTCCGCCATCCCGTCAGTAACCCGAAATCTTACCCGGAACAGATCTTGATACCATGTTTCGCCCGGCGGCTGGGACAGTATTCCGGTCTGCAGCTCGAGTGTCTTCGTCTTCTTCTCCTGTCGCAAGGACCTTTGGGAAACGATTCGCTAGCACATCGCCTGCAAACGCGCGACGGAGTTGGAAAGGCACTGCCTTGAGATGGGGTATCGCCATTGCTGGCGTCTACTACTATAATACGAGCCCCGTCTTTGCGGAGCAGCCCCAGCATAGTACGCATTCCACGCCCGAGATCACATTCGAGTCGTGTCAAGTACTGATGGCCCTTGTTCTGCAGATCTCTTAAATCCAAATCTTGACGCAGTAGACGACGAGCCCAGAGACCACTCCACATTAGAAGCACTCACCACCGGTCGCGCACGCCAGGCAGAGAAAAATGCGTCTGTCCTACGCTCGGCAGCTGATGCTGCGTCCTCCGAGAATGCCTCGACAACAGTGATTACCGAGCATGACAAACCTATCAACACGGGCGCGGCAGACTTGGAAGAGGAGGCAGCTGGCGAGGGTGCTTTCAACCCCGAGACTGGGGAGATTAATTGGGATTGTCCTTGCTTAGGTGGCATGGCGCATGGTCCTTGTGGTCCCGAGTTCCGCGAAGCGTTCTCATGTTTCGTTTACTCTACCGAAGAACCAAAGGGTATGGATTGTATTGACAAATTCCAGAACATGCAGCAGTGTTTCCAGAAGTATCCAGAGATTTACAAGGGCGAGCTGGAGGACGATGAAGAGCTATCTGCCGGATTAGAGGAGGAGAGGCAGGAGCTGGTAAATGAGATTGCGGAGAGAAAGAAACAGCAGTCAGAATCACAAGAGCAAAGAAGGCTGTTAGAGGAGCCAGATCCTGTTGCGCAAGCAACAAACACTACCAAGGGAGCAGCTCCGCAAGGGTCTCAACAACAAACGCAATCAGACATAGAAGGTGGAAAAGGAGCTCGACAGCCAGCCGCACCAACGAAATCCGAGCCAGACTCAATCCCCAAAGCCAGTACTGATGCCACCGCAGCCAATCACCGAAACGACAAGCCGCCCGCAGAGGAAGGGAAGACCAAAGTTAGTGATGACTCGTCCCACGAGTCGACCTTCTCACCGGAGCGCGAGAACATTACAGAAGGCCAGAAGTCAGGCGTTGCAAGTGATGCAGAGAAAAGTTCGTCCGTTTCCGGCCTCCCGGAGTCCGAAATCGTGCCAAAGGCGGCACATGATGCCACAAGCAGTGGCGGCGGTGAAAAGGCAAAGGAAGATGGACAAGTGGCTGGAGGTCGGGGTGGCCGACAGGGAGAGTAGATCGTCCACTTTGTCTCTCTTGCATAGCAATGTGGTCGAGTTATTTGCACCACAAAAGGATGGCAAAAGCTGTTGTATATTAATGCGGCAAGACTGGCCTTGTACAGTACGAAATTAGCCACAGGACCGAAGAGATCATCGTTCTCACCTCGAGTGCTTGTCCCTTCCCTCCGGTGGCTCAGAGCGGTGCATTATACGGGGCCCAAGCTCTATGGGTCTGGTGCAAGGTCTGTCCAAGCATCGTTACTCCGTCCTGAGCAGAGATGGCTGCCATGTGGCATGGCGTGAAGATCGTTGAATGCTAATCTTGGGTATGGGGTTCACGAACAAGCAATTTCCGCTAGGTCTCGGTTGCGTGAGAGAAGCCTTCGGATCGTCTCAAACCAGCATGAAACATGGAAGACTGTCGCTTACGAACACTATCCTGTACTAACGACGTAAGACCATCGACTGAACGTTTGCCTCCACAGATGGTACGATCAAAAGAGGCTTCTCGCATTTTCAACCCGGAGGATACAGATTTAAATGCGGACTATGCAGCAGGGCATAAAGAAGGCTTCTCCACTCGAAATCCAAGGCGACTAATGCAGTTCGGGATGGAACTGTGGTCTGGGGGAGAACCTAAGGGAGTCAATCCGGATCAGAGGCTGTCATATCCTCGTGGGATTGGAGCTAGCTGCTGGTCTATCGACTAGGGAGCATGAACTGTATTCAGTCCAGGTGAAAGCAAGCTCACAAAAATGTGCTGCCCACCGGCACGCTGGATGAGCGGTCATTTGACAAGAACAAGCGTCTGGTCGACAAACTCATAACTTCATTCGGGCAAGAGCAATATGTACTCGTATCGTTGACGCAGCATCGACGAGCGAGCGTGCCACAGCTGTCACAAAAAAAGAAACTGTGCCGTCAAGTGGTGTTCGACATTTTTCGTTGGAGGGCCTTCTAGGCTTGAGTGACAGCGCAGCGTTCATCCCGACTAAGCAGCCCCTATTAACCGCAAATTCTCAAGCGTCGAACGAGGCAAAGGCGTGAGTGGCCTTGGTGGCGCCTGTTTCAATGGCGTGCCAAGCAGCTTGAACCGAACAAGCACGTTCAAGCCAATCACTAACAGCCCAGAAGCACTCCCTTGCCGGTCGCCACCTGTTCCAGTTGGCTGGATTGAGCTTGAAGCAGGGGTCCCTTAAGTGCGCATCTCACTCGACTCACCCTCGCTGCCCCCTTCGCGGCTGTTCTGTTCGTTCGCTCTTCGCTCTCTCTCTCTCGCAGGCTTGGGCTTGGGCTCGGTTCATCATCACCTTACCTCACCTTCACCTCAACCTCCCTCTTTTCCCTTCACCATCCGTTGCTGTCATTCCGTTGTCTCGTTCTCTTCCATCTTCACTGTCAACTCCGGCACTGGCAGTGACGTCCACCTCTCACCCATCTTGCCTTTCCTTTACGCCTGCTTTTTGGCCCTAATCGCTTCTCACCCCATCAACTGGACTTGACAGCCAACCCTCCAACCAGCCAATTCTTCCGACCCAGTGGTGACCAGCGACTTGTGAAAGGGCCACTTGCCACATACTACCTCATAATCGTCCATACTCGTCAAAACAACAGCTTCATTCGAGCGATCATTGCCGCGCAATATCCCAAATATTCAGCAACCACCTTCATTGTCCCACAGGTCTTTTCGTTTCGTCACAATACTAAGACGGCTCTGTACAATCAATCAAGAATCTCTCGAGAGCACTACACGTCCATCTGCTCTCCAATCTCCAAGTGTCCGCCACAACGCTGGCTGGACGTTGCGGTCCGTACTCAGGGGTCACCCAAGCACATCAGAACGCCATCACTGACGCGTGTGCCGCAGGCATTCGTTCTTGAACACGCCCTACGCCCTGCAGGTACCTTCTCTGCCACGATCATACCGCTAGTTACGACTTCCGACTACATCCACGATCATTAATTCCCTAATCTGAAGGCAGGAGAGATTGAGCCACTTTCCTGACAAAATTCATTTCTACGCGTCGGCTGTGCACGGATTATTTTGCATACCATACTTGTCTTACCCGGCTTCCACAACATACGGCATTTCTATTCGTCGCTTTAGACTACAATGAGCATCGACGCAGGCGGTCTTGCTCAAATGACGTACCAGTCTCCATTCAACGGCTCCATCGGTGTTTCCGGCCCCGGCTTCGCTTCCCGTGGGAAAGGCTCTCATATAAAACGTCTCAGCGTTGCCCCTCCTTCCAAGATCTCGACCATTGACGAAACTCAACAAGCGAACACAGTTTCGACTCCTCGCACCAGTCGCGGCCATCTTTTGGCTGGTCTCCGTACGGCTCCGAAGTCTGCGACGGTTCCTCCTGCTACCAATGGCCCAGGGCTGGAAAGTAGCAGGTACGCCTCTGTGCAATACGGCAACCAGGCCCCGCAGACTGCCACCGGGATGTACTTTCCTCAGGGCAGAAACTCGTTTCATGGCAGCTACCAGCAGCAACAGCAGCAGCAGCAGCATCACTACTCGCTCCCCGAACACGTGCTTGCCCCTCCATCTCTTGACTTCGTTGACGGAGCCGAGAACATGGACCAGACCTTGTACGACGAATTGGTAGCAACTAACAATTACCTTGCCCAGCAACAGCGAGCTCTCCAGCAGCAATTGCTGAGTGTCACGGCCGCGGCTCACCAATTTTCTGGACTCAACCTCAACACCGCTTTCGTGAACAACGTTGGTCAGCAGCAGTTCCAGTCTCCCATCAGCTCACCGATGGGCCTGTACAATCAGCAATTGCAGCAGGGCTTGCAACCGATGGTGCAACCGGTGCCTGGCAGCCCTGGCGTTTTTGCCGTGTACAATCCTATGACCGGCCAGTCCAGCTATGTCGTCGACAATTCCTATCAACAACAGCAGCCTCAGGAAGCGTCTTCAACCCGTCAGAAGACCTCTGTATCACCTCCACCCGCCACCCCAGGCTATCAGCGTCAGGTCCCAGAGCCAAGTTTCCCCCAGACCGAGACTCGATCCAAGACACCTCCAAAGTCCACTCCTTCCCCGCTGCAGGACGTTGAACCTCTCCCTCCCCCGTCTGCGAATGCCTTCCGACGCGGCCACCGCAAGAATATGTCCTCTGCCAATATCAAGACCAATACCGAATGGACCAAAGGTGCTGGGCCAAGAGCTGGATTTCCACAAACTCCATTGACTGCTACCTTCGGCCCGGGGCATGGAAGAGCTGGAGAACACCCGGTCAGACAACCCAAAGGGCCGCCACTTTTGCAGGAGCTTGAGGAGAAACCTACATCTAAACATGAAGGGAGCAAGAACTTTGCCACTCGTCAACGCCGCCGAGCTGTCCACGACCTGGTCCGTGCTGGGCGCGAGCGCCGCAGCGATAGTGGTCGTCAACTTGGCTCAGGAGCTGGAACACCCGGTAGTGAGAATGACTTCAACTTTTCGGTCTCGTCTGACGATTCGGCTCTTGCTGGCAGCAGCACTTTGTCCAGCAAGCCAAGCCTCGGAAGCCTCCGAGCTGCTGCTAGCGGTGCCATTGGTTCTGAGATAAAGGAGAAATCTCGAGAACGTTCTTCGGTCGACAGTGTCGGCGCTCTCAGCGCTAAGAGCTTGAGCAGCGACGAAGGCAACTCAGTCGGAGGACCAATCGTTGAGATCGAGTCTGCCAGACGCAACACCCCTCTCCTTGTTCTCAGTAGCGCTGAGAAACGTAAGAGTGTTGTCATGTGAAGACGTCGGTGACAGGAAGTGCAACATGGGCAGCGCCCACAATTATACTATTTTCCTTTTTGAGTTCTCTTGGAAGACTCAGCCACTCGTTATTCATCACGACTTGATGACCAGGTATTACCCAAGATTGATTGATTGGCACGAACACTATGGCTAGTACATTCGATTCATAGGGCTCCGAACCGCTTACCTACCACCTCAATGTTATTATCATCACGGACACTCCTCGATGAATGCATGTCCGTCGATTGTCCCTTTGCTTGAACTTGGCACTTTTTGTAACCACTACATGGAGTGGTCACCACAGAAGATCGGTACACTCCTTGCATGCGCGTACTTCTGTGTCTGGGAATGGCTTGATCCGACCGCTGATATATGCATGCCCTTCCAAGAAATTCTCCCGCGCAGTCGCTGGAATGCTTGTGCTTGTGTACGTCGGATCCATTTGGCGTTGGGAAATCCCCACGAGCGCAACACCGGGAGAGGGTAACGCGAGGAGGAGGATGAGGAGGAGGAGGAGCAAGTGAGGAAGCTTGTCGACGAATACATCCCGTCCACGTACCCCATACTGTAGCATGCAAATAGGTAGTGGCTTCCAAGCTTTCCCTTGCAGTTCTTTTCTTGCTCTCGGTCTTCCGACTTGCGATTCCTCCATGTTGCGTAGCTGTAACTGTAACTCGCCCGTGCCAAACAAACAAAATCGCTGCTCCGCCCCCATGCTGCCTGGTCTGCTCTCCTTTTTGCAACGAAAAGCAATGGTCTGGTCATGGTCGTGGTCCTCGTCCTGGTCATGCACGTCTTAAAGCGACCAACCACGGGGTAGACCACAGGTAGACCGTGTAGGGTATCTGAAATGCTTGCTCCTGGCTTTTTGCCATAAACTATGAATCTAGACTTTCGTTGCCATGTTCAAGGAGCATCGTCTTATGCCCCTGCCCCTGCGTCTCTCTCTCTCTCTCTCTCTCTCTCTCTCTCTCTCTCTGCAGTGCAAAGCCGTGCTCGCTCGTGTTCATGCTCAGTTCGTGCTTGCGCTCCTCCGAGTCCTAGCCCGTCGTGCAACATATCCTCATCACACATCCTGCTCGAAAGTTGAGCCTCCTCCTGTGTCTAACTGTTCAAATACCTCGCCACAGCGCCTCTCAATTTCCTCCCTCCTTCGCCTGCAACGTTGATCAGGTTCTCCAAATCATCGCCCGCGGTTAACCCCAGCCTTCGCACAAAATCCTTGGCCACGGTCTCGATATCTCCGTAATTCCCGTCTTCCAAACCCGTGAGATCATCCTCGGGCCGTCCAAAGTATGCGTTGGATGAGATACTGGTCGCTCCGTCGAAATTTTGTAGCCGGGACTTTGCCTCTGCTTGGGCCGAGGGGTCATAGGCGGCGCGGCCGAAAAATTCGTCGCTGGAGATGGATTTCTGGGTGCCGAATTTTTGGCGCGCGTATTGTTCGCCGTCGTCTGTGGGGCATGATGTCAATCAGAGTACAAGAGCGAGGGGGGGGGGGGGGGGGGGAGAAAGGGAGGTCGTAGATTGTTTTGAGAAGACTCACCATCTGCTGCCGCCGGCTTCATGGGACCGACTGCGCCGAAGCCCAGCTTCTTGGGTGCGGCTGCGGAAGACGCTCCTGCTGCTGCTGCCTTGGCCGGCCCAATCTGGCCAAATCCTAACCTGTTCATGCCCATGCCTAGTCTCTCAACCTCACTGGGACTCCGGGTGTGACTGGGGTTAGAGGCACTCCTGGCAGAGGTATTAATTGGTGCGGGACTCTCCTTTGGCGACGCAGAGGCAGATCCAAAGTTCGAGGACTTGTTCTTGGCCAGTTCCTCAGTCTTCTCTGCTTCTGGATCGTAGCCCAATTTCTCTATCCTCTCAGCTTCGGCTTTCGCAGCCTTTTCAGCGGCTTCAAAATCAATCTCTTCGCCGACAACCTTCTTGGCTCCAAGCTTTTGGGCGGGCTTCTTTCCACCCAGGACATTTGTGCGCTTTGCGCCGGCACCACCCAGCGTGCCAGTCTTGCGGATCGCGGAGGAGGACGTTGTGCGGATGGCTGTCGGGGCGGCGAGAGCAGCTTCGCCGTCACTGGTACTTGAGGCTAGTGGGGACGGAGACTTCGGACGGGACTGTGCGCCATTTGCGTTGCCAGTGGAAAGGAAAGGGGAGGCGGTGCGTGAGACGACAGGAGGAGTGGCACTTCTCGAAGGCGGATTGCTAGGCCGCTTGATGGTGGGCTTGTCCCAGGAAGAAAAGAAGTCGTCGGCCGGTTCGCCTGCAGGCGTCGAGGTGCCGTCGGCGCCGGGGGTGGAAAGGGCGTCGTCGGTGATGACTACCTCGTCGGGGTACCTGTGCTCTTTGTTAGGCTTCGCCCAAACCAACCCAGGGACCGTGTATGAGCCTACTCCTGAGCGTCTCTTTCTGCTCGACGCTTAAGTTCCTCCTTGTACTTGTTGGCGGCGTTGGAAGTGTATTTGACCTTGGCGTCTTTACTGGCAAGAGCGGCGCTTCCACCGTTCATCTGGAAGAATTTGGTGGCCGACTCGTTGCCTCCGACCTTCATAGTACGCAGCTGAGCCCATTGCCAGACTATTCCATGTCAACGTCTTGTTCCTCTATGAGCGATGCTGGTCGTACCGTCCAGATTCGTCGATCTCACAAAGGAGATGTGGACACCCAGGTTTCTGTGGTTGGACGAGCAGTCGAGGCACAAGTAGACGCCAAAGGGTACAGATGACCATGTCGGGTTTTTCTGGCCGCAGTCGAAGCATACCTGCCAAGGAGTGTGAGTATGTGCATCTGAGTGTAAGAGGTGGCCTCTCAGCGTCGCGGCGGCGGTACCTTGTTAGCAGGCTTTGCCTTCAGCTTCTCGAAGATCCTCTGCGACTGGGTTTTGGTGGCGCTCATCTTGGCTGAGACGCTCGGGATAATAGGTCAAGTGGGAGAGGGGATGTTGTGAGCGTCGTGACTCTCGAGGGAGGAATCTCGCCGTTAACATGCGGCCGGGGGACAATGAATGAGCCGGGGTCGGGCGTCGCCTCTTAACGCAATCGGGACAGATCTTGGCAAATAAATGAGCCTCTACAATCTCACTTCACGGAACCACGTCGTTGCTCTTGTCCAAACCACATCTACAATGATGGACCCGGGAGAAGATCGAGCCACAGATGTGGACAAAGCTGTCAATCTGGTGGAAATCCTGGCTAAGTGATTATATTTCTACCTCTGCGACTTGCCGACGACATCGATCTGGAGAAAGCTTTCGGCTTCCGCATGTCTTGTGATTGATCAATGATTTGCGGCAGTTACCAGAGTTCTCGTTCCCTACAATGACATCCTTTTCCGAATGCGGGACCTGGAGAGTATTGATGGCAACCTGAATGTGGGCTGTGGGCGATCCTGGACCAAGCAGATGAGTCAACAGAGCATTTGACGCAACGAAGCAATGTAAGGTGCACAAATTTGCCAATCCAATCCAGCTATCCCGTCTGGTCAAGTATCAATCACATGCCGTGTCAAAACAAGCATGTCGAATACTGCGAACGATTGAGCAGCCGCTATAGGCAGTCCTCAGGACGGAAACTGGTCGTCCGGAAATCTTCCCAAGAATTGCGGTTCGGTTGAATGTGCACGTTGATCGTAGAATGAATCTACGGTCACGAATACCCAAAACTCGTCGGATGGAGTTTCTACAGTAGGTATTGACAGTCATAAATATGGAGGTCGGGAAACACGAGTTGCTGAGTGCTAAGTCATCCTCAACCTTACATTTTATCAATAGCAGTTCCATTCCTCGGTCTCCATTCAGTCGGCGACTGCATTTCACTTGTACCCTGCCGCCTTCATTTTTCTTCCACAGTTGACTGCGCGGCTTCTTTTTCGAAGTCTCTACTACTGCGCCTTTTCCGCGCTATGAGTTCTGCTCAACTCGTCGTTTTGATTCTTCAGCAGATGCGTGGCCATCGTCAATTCCGTCGGTGGAATACTGACGACCCCGTCGTCGACAGCTCCGTGATCCTCACCTGCCATCCGGTCTCAGCACCATGCCAGCTTTAAAAGATCTCGTCTGCCATGTGCAGTGGGCAGACACAGGCTCGCCCTTTCCAGAGTATGGCACAATCTACGGAGATGGCTTGGTTGAGACCTATATCGCTGTCCCCGCTCACCCTCAGGTCTTCACCATCCGTCTGACCTCGAAGAAATTCATCTCCGAAGGACTGTCAATGGTGGTCTTCATCGACGGTCAATACCAGTGCAATCGCAACCGAGTCAACCTGCAACCGGAGAAAAAGGACGTGCCCGAGAACAGATCCAAGGTTGACTTCCTGCTGAGACAGAAAGAAAAACCCTTGGGTGATGGAACATACATGGGCCGAGAATGGCGATTCGACGATTGTAACCTTGGTGAGTTATCGCAGTTTCTTACGAGTCGAGGCTAATTGGCGATCATCAGTGCCCCAAATGCCCGAGGAAGCTGAAAAAAGCCATTTCTGCTATCTTGGCACGATTGAAGTCCTGGTCATGCGCTGCCGGAGCGGACGCCATCACGAAAGAGCTTTATCAACTTCTTCATCTGGAGAACACAGCGCGCTTCTGGATGAGGAAGAGGGCAATGACAACACAGAATCAATTGGAGAGGCAGACGAAGCCCGCAAGAAATCAGGCCTTGAAAAACAATCCACCAACGCAGAAACACCTGCAGCAACAGTTGAGGAGGCGATACCAGGGTTTTTCGGTCTCTTCGACGGGCCTGCTGATGAGCCACCAGCATGTCATTTCTCTGGAGATGCACCTGCTGATAGTCATTACGATTACTGGCAACGGCATAACAGACTTCCTGCTCGTTACGGCCCACAAGAAGGCTCGCGCGGCCAGCCAGTCTATCGAGCACACCATACACCCTATGAAGAGGCGCGGCCATCGCGATATCCTTACCACGATTCTTCGCCGCCGGACGTGTACGCACGTCATGACAGTCCGGCTCCGAGGTCAGAAAGACACGTCCACTTCGACCAGGGTGACGAGCGAGGCCCACGGTATGGAGAATACAGTGACAGATACGGGCCTCATCACCACCCGGTGTTCGAGCGCAATGATAGACGCGAACACACCCGAACACGCCCCCCCAGCTATCATGATCCAAGTCGCGATGGAGAGCATAATCTGTACCCAGACTACTCTACGGTCCATGAGCGAGGTCCCTTCCCATACGCATCAGGACACCCCGAGCCACAGCAAGCTTACAGCAGTTATCGGCATCGAGCTCCCCCACCCAGTCATCCTCGATCGCATGCATACGATCTTCTACCCGGTCATCCTGCACCACATGCATACGCTCACCCTCCTTTCACCTTCCCTCACTTGAATGTACATCCTCACCAAACACTCCATCATGGGCAGCATATCTATGGTCCTCCTCCATTTGCGACATCTCAAGTTCCAAATGCAGCAGCAGCAACTTCCTCAGGCCCGCCTGTGCCTCTTCCGAAGATACCAACGCAGCACGCCCATCTGCCACAAGCCCCACATCACCAAGTCCCTTGCGTTGCACCACTTAGTCTTGCGCCGAATGTGTTTGTACCGCCAATTCCCGGCCCGTTCGCCGTATACCCACCGCCAGGAAACCAATCTCTTTTTCACACCCAAGGACCAAATGTCGACGGTGGGCACGTCGAGACCAGCGCTCCTAATCCAGTGATTGGACAACCCAACAATGCCGGTGACCATGGGCGAGGAGATAACCCTTCTCGCGAATCAGAAAACAAAACCTCTGGCAGCGTTCGGTACGATGAGGTCTCGGATCAACATCCGCCGGCGAAAAATGATAACAACGACAGCTGGGGTGATTCTGGTGGAGATGATAACTCGGGCAATAACCCGAGTAACTGGACCAATACTGCCGGTAACAACGATTCTAACGGTACAGACAACCGCTCGTGCACGAAGTGTCCAGCTAATAATCAAACCAATACAGGTGCCTCGAACGGCAATAACAACCAAGACACAGATTGGGAGAACAACAACAACGATGCGAGCAACAACAACAACGACTCCAGTTTCGGCCAGAATCAGGGTGACGATTGGGGCAACAACGATGACTCCGGCGGCAACAGTGACGTTAATAACAACGTTGGTGATAGCAACAACAATCAGGGGTGGGATAACAGAAACTCTGGGAACCAGCAATGCAGCAATGACAACAATTGGGCAAACGATATCCAAAATACCCAAAACTCAGGTGGCGATAGTGGTTGGGACAACAACCAGAACAGCAACCCTACAATCCAGACTCAGGCAAACTCGTGGGACAATGAGTGGAACAACAACCCCCATCCAGGCAACCAGGCAGTAAATCCCAGTGATGGCCAGAACAATATGTCTGGTTTCCGCGCCCAGCCAGCACCGGGAAACTGTCATACGACCAGCCGAGTCTTGTACGGCCCTTACGGACCATATTACGGTGCGAAATCTCGTGCCCAGCAGGGTCCTCCCCCCGACGCCGAAGAAGAGCCACGATATGATCTGCCCCAAGCCATTGCACAGTCCAGGGGCGTCACCAAACAAGTCCAGCCTGGGCCAGGCTACCTGTACGTCAAGAAGAGATGCGCGCCTTTGTACATCGATTCCTTGGACGAACCGTACGCCAAATTCGTCTTCAAGTATCGCACCAGGGAGCAGCTGAAGAACGAGATCGGGGTTGACATTGCGGGCGAACCGACCGGAGATGAAGAGGTCAATGCGCTGGAGAGTCTGGACAAAACGGAACTCATCCAGCTGCTTCTGCGAGCCAAAGGTGCGCTCGGAGGAACCATCCCGGAACCACCACCCAAGCCGACCGCTTCTGCAATGAACGGCTTTGAACGAATCTCCGTCCCTGCACCGGATGTGAGCTTCCTGCATTACAGCTTGCCTCCCGCGCGGCACGCGTCCAACAACGTCGGCCTCGGGATACGGCACCTGTCAAGCAACAACCGGAGCAACGTCGGCGATCCCAGTCAGATCAACAACAACAACTCAAATGGCGGGGTTGGTCGCGGGCAAGAGAACAACCAGCAAGACGCAACTGACTGGAGTAACAATAACACGAACAACGCCGCGGCGAACAACTCCGGCTGGGACGGCGCCCAAGAAGGCAAACCATGTACGACGATACCACAACCGCCGATGACCTTCGGGTTGCAATCGCAAGAACCCGTCCAGCAGGGGGATAATCTCCCTCCACCACAAGACGCGTCACGCCGCAGCAGCTCAGGCATCAGTCCGAAGAACATGCACGGCGTGCCGCCCGGTCCGACATTGGACGACTACAACCGGCTGTTTTCTGGTGCTGGGGCGGCGAGCGGGGCACCCATCATGTCCGGTCCTTGTCCTCCGCCTCCACCGCCGATCATCAATTTTGGCGCCGAGGGAACTGTGGGAGGGGGGCAAACGAATTGGGCCAATGCGCCCAATATGGGTGCGGGACCGCGACCGCCGACACCGACGGTGCCGCCGCGACCACCTACTCCTATCAATGAAGGTGAAGGGGCGGCTTGGGGCGGGGGAGGAGATATGACGGCTGTGCAGCCACAGAGTGGGTGGTGAGCTGAGCTGAGCTGAGTCGGGCGGAGCGGTAGGGAAACGTGAGAATGGAAGTGGTAGGGAGGAATCGGAAACCAACCGACGACGCCTTTGCTTCCAGCCGAAGCTTCTTAGCTGTCAAACCATTGTTCTTGACTCCCGACCATACATCGACTGGGCGGCATTGGAGCTCGGAAGCTGTGAAGGAAGCTGGTTTCACCCGTGGGAGTTCGGGAGAGTGTGCTAACTCTTGAAAAATCCATTTTGTGTCTAGGGGAGAGTTATCGCGACTTCCTGGCCTGAGCTTACCAGTTTCCCAACCTCTCTAATCACTCCCCGTATTCTATTCCTTCTCTTCGCCGACGACAAATCCGCCGCCGAGCAATATTGCCGGCTCCTTGATATTGTGATGCTCGTAACTCAGCGTGCCGACGCCACCGGCCTCCATGATCATGGCCGTCTCCGATAACGGTCGTCCGATCCAGCGCATGGCGAAGGCCCGCAGGATGTGTCCATGGGCCACGACCAAGACGTCTCCGGTCACACCGGGCTGTTTCGGCTTGCCTATCACCTTGCTATGGTGTCTTTCGCGAATCTCTGAGATGAGACTATCCAAGCGAGCGATAATCTGCTCGGGACTCTCCCCTCCAGGACACCCGTCGCGCCAGATGTCCCAGTGTTCGTCTAGCCCTTGCTGTTTACGCTGCGCCCGGATCTCTGCGCTAGTGATACCTTCGTAGTCGCCATAGTCCCATTCTGCGATACGAGGCTCGACGGTTACCTGCGCGGTAGTACTATGAGGTGACTGTTCGGGCGGTGGAGGGCTGGTCGAGGTGGATTGCCACGGGTAAGGCTCGTGGCAGCCTAGGTTGAGGAGTTCGAGGGTTCTTTGGGCACGGTGACGAGGGGAGACGTAGCTGCGGGGAGAGATACGGATATCAGCATGGTTTCGTCTGAGGGAGGGAGTAGAGTGCAGTCCGACATACATGTGGACTAGCTGCTTCGGGACGATCAGTCTGTCGTCGCCGACGAGTGCTCGTCCTGTCGCGCGGACTCGTTTCTCCCCATTCTTGGTCAAGGGGATGTCTGTGGTGCCTGTGTGCTTGCCCGAAAGGGACCATTCGGTCTCGCCGTGTCGGACGATGAAACAACGAGGGGTCGTCATAGTGGTAAGGGTGTGGCTTCTCGCCTCGGATCTCGAAGCGGCGGTAGATTGGTTGAGCTCGGAGAGTGAGGAGCGCGGATCAACCTTGCAGACAGAATGCTTCAGAAGAGAGAAGGGGGGTTCAACAAGGTATCAAATGCTGTAACGCGGATGAAGTGGGCAACTGACGTATTTCTGGGAACCAACAACTACAACCTGCCAAGAGGGAACGGGATGGCAGTTCGGTCGAAATCGTACTTAACTTGTCATAGTCATCGACGCCATGTTACGGAAGACAAGTCCATATATTGGCAACCGAGCGTTTTCCAGAAGAGAAGAATGTTGTTTGAGATGCGTCGAGGGGCAGCTGTGGGCGGGGCATTGGCCAGGGACAGCAGTCTGGATGAGTCAGCAGGTCCATTTGCTGAGAAGCACCGTGAAGTACCCAAGAAGCACGATGAGGCATCGAGAGCGGCGGAGAGGGAATGAGATGGCAATGTCGCAGTTCTCAGTGTCCGCCCATGCGAAGAATCATCATGGGGCTGTTAAGGGTCGGCGAGGGTGCATCTGTTCTTTCGAGCTGGTTTTTATCGACTGCTGGGTTTTCGAGCTTCGAGTCAGACGAGACAAGGAAACAATCGACTTTGTGCTGTCTTCCATAGCTAGCTGGTAGCTGCATTCTAGACTTGCAATCAATCATACATTCATCAGACTGGACAGACACCCAAAGGTGCACATCTAGCAAGTCTGGCCCTATCGATCGGTGTCTCCATGGCCTTGCCCCTATTCCCGTCCCCGTGCCCCGTCATACACATACACGCTCAACGACGACATATCCACGACCGCCTGGGGTATGGTACTGTCACGAGATGCTGCACAGCAGGACTTACACCATTGTCATCACTGCTGCTCGAATATATCTTTTGATTAGAGTACGGACACGATCGATGAGTCAGCAACTACGATTTCGCCAAGCGATGCAAGGCTGCACAAAGCAGATGATACTGTATCCGCTAATACGCCAGTCCTCGTCATCCATCCTCCCAACTTCGGAGAGACACGGACACCTCATCGTGATCGCGTGTCAGCTAGTCCCGTCTAGACTTTTGGATAGAAAAGCGAGATCCTGTGCTGCTGTTTAGTGCGATCTCTCATCCATGACAACCTAGTGTCTCATCATGCCTCTGCATTGGCATCCTTGCGGTCTTTTGAACGGCAAACCCACCCACCCCTACGCCATTATCGTGCTGAACCAGCCCGTGAACGAACGGGCGTTGGACGCGGTCATCGGGTCGGCCTCGCTCCTCGTCTGTGCGGATGGCGGAGCAAACAGACTGTACAAGTGCGAGCATGACAACGGTCACGGCCACGGCCATGTCGCCAAGCTTGTCAACGGATCTCAGACGCCATCGCACGTCTCTCACCGCTTACCAGACGCTATTGTGGGCGATCTAGACTCGCTGGAGAAGGAAGTGGAGGAGTATTACCGCTCATGCGCTGTTCAAGTGGTCAGAGATCCGGATCAGTATTCCACCGACTTTACAAAGTGCTTGAAGTATATCCGCAAGTGGGCAACAACACATCGACAACACAGCCATGGCGAAGACGATACATTGGACGTAGTCGTCCTAGGCGGGCTCGGCGGCCGCGTCGACCAAGGCTTCTCACAGATCCACCACCTCTTCATGGCCGAGAACGATCCCTCGCTGTTGAAAGGGCGAATTTACTTGTTGTCAGAACAGAGCTTGTCATTTGTTCTATCTTCATTCTCAGCCGCAAGCTCTAGCAGCACCACGTCCGAAGCCCGTATCGATAGGAACACAAACATCATCCATCTCGAACCCGGCTACTTTGCCGAAAACGTGGGCATCCTCCCTGTTCTCGGACGGACGTGGTTGACGACTAGAGGTCTCGAATGGGATGTAGAGAATTGGCCCACCCAGTTTGGCGGCCAATTGAGTACCAGTAACCATATTCGAGCCGATAAAATCGAGATTTCTTTCGAGGGACCAAGACCTCTATTCACTCTGGAGCTGGACAAACGTCTTACGACTGCTGGCCATCTAGGCTTCCCCTGAGAGGTGTGAGCGTGGCCTGCGGTGTGCCGATCATGTGTGCCACGAGTAAGGACTCTTGTCGTCCTGTGCCAGGGCCGGCCGCCTTCGAGCTGACCCGCTACTGCCCAGTATTGGTTGTCGGTAGTGCACCCGTCTGATGCTGATGGTGGCGGATGGCCTCGCCAATCGAACGGGTCTCGAGATGCCGGGAACTGCTGTTGGTCGAGCATCGGTAGGTGTGACAGGGGGTGCCACTTCGCGGCGGGTCCACTTGGCCAGGCGAAACGCTAATGCATACTGCTGCAATCGCATGAACAAGCATGAGGTCGTTTATCCGGGAGGCTTCCTCCAAGAACCAAGTCGCAGTGTTTCATGTCCTATCACGGCCAAAACGGCCAATCAGCCTGGCTTCTTCAACAATCTGGGAATTCTGATTGCCGGCGAACGAGCGTTCTTGGGTGCCTCGTTCTCCGCGCTCTCAGTGGAAGATTTCTTGCCATACCAGTCGACGTCGCTCAGGTTAAGCCTTCTTGCTCGGGGCGCATGGCGTCCCGATCTCTCAGAGCGGCTGAGGGAAGGATTGTAATGGTCCGGGCCTAATTTGAGACCTTTAGTATTGGGGTTCCTCTCCAAGGGGGGTTGCTCAATGGGGCCACAAGGAAATCCAATGGGAATACCATCATGGGAATCATCTTCGCGCAGATCATAGTTCAAGACAAGGTTCTTGATCCGCTGCTGTTCTTCTCGCTCAGCCGCCTGCTGGGATTTCATCGAAACTGCGAAGCTCGAATCCGATGGCAGCTCGATCGTCTTAGTCTAAAAGATTGTCAGCACGCTGCAACCGGAGGCTACTGACCATTCTCCACGAATCAGGGCTACTTGCTTGTTGTCGGTTGCCCTTCTTTGTCATCAATGAGAACGCCATCGTGTTGGACTCAGACATAGGTGCAGGGGTAGCCTCTTCGTCGTTTGGCTCGATCGGCGCTCGAGCGATCTTGCGAATAGGTATCGGTACGTCGAAGTGGGTCTTGCGTTCGAACTTGCGCGAGTCCAAGCTCTCCGCCATCATTTTCTCGAATGCACGGTCAAACTCAGCCTCAGCCTCGGGATCGAGCTGTTCTTCTTGGCGCATAACCACAATCTGCTCTTCTTCGTCCGAGTCGACCTCATCTCTGTCCTCACCGGTATCCTCGTCTGCGCCCGCCTGGAACCGGTCAGTAAAGCATATGAACTCGGAGCTTCGTGAGCCTACGTCTCCATCGTCTTCTGAAGATTGAGCAACCTCACCCTCGACTTCGCCGTCGCCATCGCCGAGGGCATCGTCAGAGGCCGAGTCCTCCATATCCTCCGCCTGTTCGACAGACTTCTCTGCTGCCTGTTGCTTATAATTTGCGCTCACCGCTTCAGCAAAGACCTTTGCAGCCTCTCCAAGATCCGTGACCAGCTTCCAGTTGGGTCGAACAAGGGAATATGTGTCTTGCACAAGGAAGTCAATCTCCATTGGCAGAGGTTCCTTGGTAGCCATGTAATACTGAAAGAAGGTCAAGAAAAAGTCAAGCTTTTTCTTAGAGCTGCCTCTATCGAAACAGATGCCACAAGTGTCGAGAATAGTGCACACTAGTCGAATTCGGAAATAATCGTCCGGAGGGTCAAAAGGTGTAAAGTTGCCAGGCTGTGGGGTCCCACCTTCGTGGCCGAATGTGACGAGCCGATACAAGGTGTCGAAGACGACCGCTGAATCAATCATCTTATAATTGTAGAGTTCGCCGAGGTACTTAACCTCGGCTATTCTTCGCTGGTTGAATTTGAAGTCGTTTTGCTCCAGGCCGAGTGTGATGTACTCAAGAACGTTGTCAATCACCCCAATCGCAAAATCTTGATGATACCGGAACAGTGCTTGAAGCAGCACAGCCAAGAGATGAATGTTACTGAACTTGACCTTCCCCGGCTTGCTGAAAATCTTTTCGAGCATCTGCACGACGTCTTTCTCCTCCCAGTGCAGTTTGCGAATGGTCTTGAGGACTTTCATATAGTTTCTCTTCGTCATGTCCATGTAGACCAGCTGCCGTACGAAGAGCTCAGTAGGCGTTCGATCCTTTTGCTGGATGGCCGCGCGTTGTGGAGGGTCGACGTAGTACAACGCATTCTCGATCAACATTCGCTCCTGAGCTCCCATGTGCTGTGCGGACTTCTTGCGGTTCAGTGTCTCCAGGAAGGATGTCATGCGTGGCGCGGTCTCGGGATTGCGCAGAAGATAACGACCACAGTTCTCCAGCAGATGTGCGATGATCTCAATATTCATCCTGGAGAAGTCGTCCAAACTGACCTTGAAGCAATGAAAGATGACATGTTCTGGCACGATACCAAATTTGGTGAGTTCCGCAAGGTACCGAATATTGGCCATGCGGATCTGGCCCAGAAAGTCTTTGGATTTCCGTCTTTGTAGGCTCCGGAATTCATCGTCAAGATGTGAGATTAGTCCCTGAATGACATCTGGCATGTATTGTCCCAGAGTGGCCGCAAGGCGCGCATAAAGTGGAAGTAGATCGATGCGACCCTTCGGAACTTCCTGAATTGCCTTGATCAGACGGTTTCGGGAGGCCTTCGAATTGAGGAAACAGAAGTCCAGCGCAACTTGGTCCACCATCTCCTTGGTCTGCAGTTCGGGAAGGCGGAGGAGGATCGCGTCGACTTGGGCGCCCACTGTCTTGTTTGCAATTGCGGTCGAGTGGTCGTCGGTTTCAGAAGGCTTCCCAGTCGTACTATCAGTGGTCGCAGTAGAGGCTTCTTCCGTCTCCGCCTTCTTCTTTGAGTCATCTAGAAGGATGCTTGGGACACGGCCTTTGAGATCGACTAAATTCTCGTAGAAGCGGCGCTCGTCTTCATCTTCCCAAATGCCTGCGCCTTCACCCGAACCTTTGAGGTAGTCGCCTGTCTTGATCATGCCGACCGTTCCCGAGGCGGCGTTGTCTGTACTGTCCTTTTCCTCGAGATAGGGCATCTCTTGTCCAAGAACATCGCAGAGAATCTGGGCATTTGCGACCAGCTTCTCTTGTGCCTTTGACTGTTTCTCAAAATTGGCTTGCCTATCTTCGAAGATCTCACCGCTTTTGACATAAGCTTCAGCATTTCGACGGCTTTGGTTGTTGAGAGATCGCTGATCCCGGATGACGTGATTTTTGACGGAGGTCAGATAGCGTTCGAGCACGTTGACAAAGCGTTGTCGTATGGGGGGAGGGATTATTGGCTCGTCTCCTTCAGTAGTATCGGCGGAGTCCTCGCCATCCTTACTGCTCTCAAGTATATGGCCCTCTGCATCGACCGTCTTCCGGCTACCATCGGAGGGTGGTTTGAGGCCTAGAATGTCCCAGGCGAAGTTCTTGACAAAGAGAACAGCCAAGCTCAAATTAGCATGCTCCGGGTCATGGCCAAGCAACTCTTTCAAGACTTCCAACGGAAACGGCTCATGGTCCAGATGGGTATCCGGTCGAAGGCCGTTTGCGACCTGTTTTGGCTTGACTTCCGGCTGAGAGGTGCCATCTTTGGTCCGTGGCGGAGCTTCGTCTGGTCGGTCCACGTCATCCAGACTTCTAAGAATACCACACAGCCAAAACTCAGTGACAACTCGAATAAGGACCCGATGGCGAACCAGACGCTCCTTCTCTTCGCGTTCACGGACTTCAGGGCTCCACTGCTTGAGTTGAGCCTTGTCTGGCGGGGTCAGTCCCTTTCCCAGAAGCCATGCTAACTGTTTGGTAAAATCCTGTGGGCCGAATCGCTGGTGTAGGGCACTGACGACCTCGACTCCGGCTGCAATGTCTCCAGCTGTCTTCAATTTGCCCAAGCCTTCAGCCGTGGCGGAGATGATCTCGGAGAGGTACTTTTGAAGGGACAATGTGCGGATCTCGGATAGGAAGGTATCTTGCGCAGCAGACGATAAACCGGTTCTCAAACGTTTAATAAACGCAGTGTTCTTCTTGAGCGACGAATCGAGGGAGTTTGCTACTTCGTAGACGTCTGTAGCCCTGTCAATGATTTGGAGTTGGATTCGATCTCAGTGTGACGCAGCGTACCCTTTGCGCCTGACCAGACGCGCAGGTTCAGGTCACGTAGCGTTCCTGTGTCAAAGAGTCAGCGAGATACAGCCCGGTCGAAATCCCACACGCACTCTTGCGCTGGCGGTCCATGACGGCCCGCGATGTTGCAAAGACGTTCCCCACGCTCGCATGACGACAGGGTAGAAGGCACAGTGGCTGCAGGAATCCTGCCTTGCAGACTGAACGCCAGATTCACTACGCGTTGGTCGTGGTGAATATGGGCTAGATGCTTGTGAAGGGGGAGTGAAATGGGAGGGGCATATTATGTTTTGGCCCAAACCAACCTAACCGGACCAACCTGAACTTGGGGCAATCACGCCTGCAGGATGCGGCACACTGGTTCATAGGCTGTCCGTAGTGCCGTGGCCCGATCATGATGACGAAGCGTGCCAAGTCCTTGCTGAGATCTGAATCGGCAACGACTACGAGAATTCAGCCTTGCAGTACATATTTGAGGAACATTTTTCATTGTGAGAGCCATGCACAGGACAGGGTCCGTTCATCTATCATACCCATTCTGTGCAAACGCATCAAGACACGACCATTTCTCACCTACAGTTCTCCGCCAAATACCTTTGCTTTCTGAGCGGCTAGTTTGCTCTTTCTCGCTTGAACAAGCTGCTGATCAGACCCGGTCTCTCCATTCTTTCCTTCGGCAACCTTTGCCCGTTTCCGAGAGCCGGTCTGTGGCCCCTTTGTGGTTGCTGGGTTTCGCTTGCGCTTCTGTCCACTTTCATCTTGATCGACCCCATCTCCCAGCTGCTCATGTTCTTCTGCTGCCTCAATAATATCCTCGGTCTCCGTCCACAAATCTTCTGCTAACCACAGGGGTACCGCTAAAGAAGACTGTCCTTTAATATGGATACCGCGAACATTTTTCCATCCTTTCACGACGTGTTTTTCGATCAATCTACCCACGACAGCGGTGATATTTTCCGCCAATTGCTCTGGCTTAAAGGCGGCCAGTCCAACGCGTACAGCGACAAGAGTGCCGGGTCTGACGCTGACAGGTACAGAATCCAGAGCTTTCTCAATTTCTCTCACCAGTGCCTGAGGCGAGGGGTTGGCAGCGACGCCGTCGTCCTTTGGAGCTTTCGATTCCTTCTTGTCTTTCCTCGAGTCTGTGATAACGATTGGAATCGGCCTCTTCGATGTTCCCTTGTAAAAGACTTTGCCGAGGGTCTGAGGTAGACGGGTGATGATTCGGTCATCGGCCAGGAAAATGTCGTGCTCAGATAGCAGTTCCCGCAGTTGCTCGAATGTCTTGTACCTCGCCTTTAATTTGGTGAAACCAATTATTCGAGTGATGCGCGTTTTGAGTTGCGCTGGAAAGGCAGGGTCGGCCACCAGGTTCTTCACTGCTCTTTGGGGATCTGCGGTGATAAGGCATATTCGAAGGTCGGGTGATGTGTTCAGAGAATGTGGGACTGGGATTTTGCTGGGTTTGAGACGGTTCTTGTCGACAATATGTTGTTTGGTGGTGAGGGTCATCCATATCGGCGCTTCCGCATCCCCAGCAACATCCTCGTCAGAATCGGAGGCACTGGTTGACAGAAGGCTCTTTTTTGAGGAAGCCTGCTGCAAACGTTGGGTCTCGGTTCGAATGTGTTGTAGCAAGGCTCGAGATGCTTTGAGTGTCTGCGCCCGTTAGAAAATCATCAAACCATGCGGCGCAAGTGGGTACCTGTTCAGGATCGAGCTGATAAGGAGTCTCTTGAGGACGTCCGGAACCAAATGTCGTCGTCAGTTTTGTTGCGACAGCCATTGTGCAAGCCCCTGTTTGGTAGGACTCGAAATTGTTGCGTATCGAAAAAAGTCCCCAAGTTCAAGATGGTCGGTCAAAAAACTTTCAGAGACCGATGATTTAGCCCAGTGATAAGATAAGATCTTATCGCTTAGCTTTCCCTCTTCTGGCCTATCTCCAAACCTCGCGTGACTCGATGACTTTCCAAAACCATCAGTCGCTTTCATAATCGGCTGTCAAGCTACTCGTACACTCTAGGTCTTCCGGCACTGAGCCGGTCGGCAGAAGATTTGATGGAAGGATACCGGCGTCAAGTCGACTCAGGTCGAGCGCTGCATTCCAGAATGCTTCAAACATACGAGTGCTTGCATGGCACTTACGGCTATCCGGCAGACACGAGAAACAAGCCGCATTACATACTAGTGCTGCACGTATAACGGCATGTGCTGGCAGTTGGAAGGAAATCGCAATGTAACCCTCTCGTGGTGGGAGTGGCCAGCAAATGACAGTCAGCTCGAGGTCTTTTTCCTTCGCGTCCTGCACTTTTCCCCATGACACGTAGCTGAGCTCGATAATCCTCATCGGGCGGAATTTGACGTACTAAGAGCGAATCTCTTGAGGCCCGAGCAAAAACGCGCTTGAGGTGCGGCGTCACCAGTCTCGAAAAATGTAGCGCGACCGCGAAGAGGAACCGACTCCATCCAAACTCCACATCCGCTCGTTCTCCAACCACATCGCGTGAGTTGCTCTCGAGTTGACCATTCCATCAACCTTTCAGTCCTCCCATTACTCGACCTTTCTTGACCTTTCTCGTGGCCAGCGTCAACTTCACTTGCTGGCTGCCTTTGCTTTGGGTTTTCGAACATCTGCTGAACGTCGCATGAACAGGACCGGCCCATTGACCTCGCATTCCCTCTGCCGAGGACGCGCTTTCAGCTGGTTAATTGACCCCGGCTATCGCGCTCCTAGGTAGCTGAGGTCCAAGAGCCAGCACAAGATGTCTCCTTCTACTACGGTGTCGAAGACACTTGCCTCTCCTCCTTCGATCTCGAAACGGCCAACAACCTCACTGCTTCCCGCGTTTGAGCCACTATCCTCTTCGCCCGCTCTTCCACGACCCCTCAAGCGAACTCGAGATACCTTTGATGACCACGCGACATATCCTACACCTGTCCCCACCTCCTCTACAGCAATACTGTCTTCTTCACCAGCACGCGTAGTCAAGTCTAGGCCTAGTCTTCCAAGAACTTCTTCCACCCTTGCCGAACGCACACCTCTTGGTGCCGTCCCCTCCGTCCAATTAACAGCCGATGGGAAAGTTACGCGTATGGGCAGATCGAGTGCCTCCTGCGACTACCAGTTCTCCTCAAACCGGCTGATATCCAGAGTGCATGTCGAAGCCTGCTACAAGCCCGCTGGGTCGCGTCTGGAGCGGGACCGTGTCGAAATTACGTGTTCCGGATGGAATGGTATCAAGATACATTGCAAGGGCCAGGTCTACGATGTCAAGAAAGGAGAGACGTTCTCTACGGATGTTAGGAACTCGGAGATTATGATTGACGTTCATGACAGTCGTGTCGTGGTGGAGTGGCCTCCCAAGCCCCAGCTTGGTGCTTTCTCTTCAGAAGACGAGGAGGAAGAGGATTCCCCCAGCAAGCGGCAACGTGTCATGTTGCGCCATTCAACACCACCGAGCCCGAGCCCAATGCAAGCGCGCAAAAGACTATCTTCTCCAATCTCACCATCACCTGCCGTCCAGGCAGTCATGCCGTCTTCACCGCCACTCCCACCGGCTGCTGTCGAGATCTACGAGGATCCTGAACCAGCGGAGCAGCGCAGTGAAACCATCAGTGCCGCCGAAGTATCTCAGTCTACACAAGCGTTATCTCAGAATGGCGAACATTCCGAGGTCCCACAGAACAATGCTTCGTTGTCCACTGACGACTTCTCTGACAACGACGAGGAGAACGACCCCATCATACACTCTTTTGGACTCTTTGGTGCTAATCTTCTTCCACGCATGGCATCGATTTCTGCGGGCGATTCACCTAACCCTAGCTTGTCTATCAACAGTGCTCGCTCTTCACATACCGAACCGTCTCCTACAGACGATTTCTCAACATCAGCCAAAAAGTCGGGGTCAGAAATTGATGTCCAAGGTCACATCATCAACCAACTCGCATTTTCCCGGTTGTCATCCACTCCGCTGTCGACTATTCTGAGTCATCTCCCACACGAAGCCGGAGCACTGTCGATCAATGAGATTAGGCAGCTGGTCAAAGACACAGCCTGTATAGGTGAAGTCCGTAGGGAAGGGAAAGACGCCGCGGGCAAACCACTAGAGAGCGAATTCTACTACATCCCAGACGAAGACGAGGATATACAAAGAAAAGCAGCTGTAGTCAACGATCTGCGCAAGCCGGGGTTGAGAGCATGCCGTAAGCAGCACAAGGTACCCCCATCACCATCCGGACAAGCTTTGAGGCATCAGCGCTGACGATTCTCTAGCAATACTACTGGCGCAAACCGAAATGAGGCTCTCCCAACCATGTGTTTGATTGCCATTGTCCGGGAAATGTGGATATGGTTCGGTTGCAGAAAATGGACAAAAGTGTGGTCGGGTGCGGTTTCCTGGTGTTTGTGTTCAAAGCTCTCTGCGTGTCGGTCATCCGAATCTGTGTGCAGCAAGAGCCTGTTTACCTTGTCTAGCGTTCAGCGTCAATGCATAGCGAAGGAAGCAGATGACAGTGTCCTGCACCAATGGTGGGGAAACGATGCTTTTCTTTGTTTCTCGTCACTGTCAGTGGGAGGATGTACCCAGCCAACAGAGCAAGGCCGAGGTCAATTAGCAATTCAAGTAAGAGTTACTGGCCTCGTCGGAATTGTATAAGATCTCCGTATGGGTTGGAGGGGTTGTCAGGGTCGCTTTTCGCCTATTCCTCCGTGGTTCATCCGGCCTTCGGGCTCGCCAGGGATCCCTGCGGGGTGACTTCATACATGGTCGGATTTTATGCAGGAAACCGTCAGGAGGGGCACTACAAAACCGAGCCTCGCCCGTCAATAGCTGATCCTTCAATGTTTGCCTCCTGGTGCTGTCATGGCGGTCAGTGGCATCGTCATTGTAACAGCAGGACATCAACGATGAGATAGCCCTGTGGGAAGAACATCGGTCGCGCAGGAGATAAATCGCGCCCCTCCGTATCTCCCCTCGCAGACTCGATCTAGCCCGGCGACATCCGCTACCGAGCGGATGGTTCGCCGACACTTCCATGAATCCAAAGCGTAAAGTCTAGATTAGTATTTGCTCTTACTCACCTTCCTGCTTGCTTGTATTTGTTTCTTTTCTCTATCCTCGTGACCACTTCCCTTCTGCTGACCAATGCTCTTCCTGTCTCTTGTGGTATTCAACAAGTGACGAGCCACTGCTTCTTGTGGCGATCTCCCTTCACAAACAACACCATGCTTCCCCCAGTTCCCTTGCCCGAAGACTACGGCATCTCGCCCGAGAGAGGATTCCTCCCCTCGGATCTGCCTCTTCAATGTCTTTCGCATCCAGTCTACGACCGCTGGGAGCGGATTATGAACAACTTCCAGTCGCTTCTGCTCTCCAAGAGACTGCGAGCAGTCATCGACAAACTCCCCGTTATCCCTGCCGTCCATTTGGAAACCGAGGCTGAGTGGCGGCGAGCATATACTGTTCTGACGTTTCTGGCGCACGGCTATATCTGGGGCGGGGATAAGCCCTCCGAGGTATGTTCTCTCACGTGGCGGCGTCGCAAGCAATTTTGCTAACAGGGAGCGCAGAGACTGCCACCTGCGATCACTTACCCTCTTCTTCAAGTTTGCGAATACCTCGAACTCCCCCCTGTGGCCACCTACGCGGGCCTGGTATTATGGAACTGGAAACCGCTGTTCATGTCGGATTCTCTGGCTCTTGAAAATCTGTCGGTTTTAACCACCTTCACCGGCTCCCTGGACGAACAATGGTTCTATCTAATAAGTGTGGCCATGGAAGCGAAAGGAGGCCCGACAATACCCCTCATGCTCGACGCGATACAAGCCGCGCGCGACAATGATGTTGAAAAAGTCACAAGGTGTCTCCAATCATTTGCGCAGACGCTGGACGAGCTGGGCACCCTGCTGGTCAGGATGTACGACAGTTGCGACCCCCACGTCTTCTATCACCGGATACGACCTTTCCTGGCGGGCAGTAAGAATATGAAAGACGCAGGTTTGCCGCACGGAGTGTTCTATGACGACGGGAATCGCCAGACATCCCGGTGGCGGCAGTACGGCGGGGGATCGAATGCGCAGAGCAGCATGATTCAGTTCTTCGATGTTGTTCTTGGAGTCGAGCACAGGCCTACTGGATCCAAGAAGGATGAGACGTCGGAGTCCGAAGCCGAGCCTGGGGCAGCGCCGAAACCCAGACACAATTTCATCCACGAAATGAGACAATACATGCCTGGTCCTCACCGACGATTTTTGCAGGCCGTCGAGGCGGTTGCCAACATCCGAGATTTCGTCGACTTCAATCGCTCCAATCGCCAGTTGACTGTCGCATATGATGCGTGCTTGGCAATGCTTCGAGCCCTCCGAGACAAGCACATCCAAATGGTATCAAGATACATAATCGTCAAAAGCAGAGAGTCCCGAAGTATGTCGAGAACCCGGCGGGAGAGCAGTCCGGAGCCTATTCCTAGAGGTGGCACAGGTATAGCGGGGATCCGCTATGGTAGACCCGATGAGATAGGCGCTGCGCAAAAAAAGAAGAAGATGCGAGGAACTGGTGGTACTGCTTTGATTCCCTTCTTGAAGCAAGCGAGAGACGAGACGGGCGAGCCAGCCATTGATGCGTGGGCTCGCAAGCTGCTCATGGGCGGTCGACGCACGGAAGCCGACGCAGAGATTGCCCTTGAAGACAGAGTTACTCGAGCTGAGAACTTGGATTCAGAGGAACCTCAGACTGTGGGCATGGCTGGTGCTTGGGATCTTGAAGACGCTGGTGGTGGTCTTTGCGCTTACTGAAAGCTGCATTTTCGACTGGGTTATGCATCACCTGCTGGGCTGTGGTAACTCACGTGTACATAGACATGGATGTGAGGGCACGAGGCATGCAATCGGCTGGTTTGCCCATGGCGATGTATCCAACATCTCTCGCAGAGTGACACTCGTGAGAGAAAGGCAAACGACCCTCGGCCCTAAAGCTCACGCGGTCCGGCCCGAAGTTGAGCCGAACCCCGAGTGAGGACTTTGATTTCACTGCATTTCAATCATTTCCTTCCACCATCTCTCGTATCACTCGCGCTCTATCCTCACTGTCGCGACAGTATCGCCATAGGGTTTTTGGCATGCTGTCCTTTGTGGACAATACACCTACCTGCTAAGGAACCTCCGCTGTGATCGTGCTTTAGCATGTTGCTCTTCTCTCCGCCCTTCCGCCTCGAACCTTTTGCAATCAGCTCTGAATGTGCCGCCAAACGGTCAGGCCGCGGACTTTGCTATTCAATTGTTACTTCTCCTACTCCCTACGCGAGTCGTGTATCCGCAGACCTATTGAATGTAAGGTGCGATAGACTAACACACCCACTGATGACCACTTCCGAGCCCTCTGGTAGAACATTGTGGTGCTCCTTGCCAATGTCTGCGCCCTCGGGTTCCATTAGACTCAAATACCAAATGACTGTCAAGTGGAGGGACGATGTTGACGCTGGGAATGCCTTTGACGCCCTAGCCGGAGACAAGCTCCATAAGACGCGGCAACCAGCTCGGCCAGAATCACCAACGGAGATGTAGGAATCGAGGACTTTTATGGCGACTTGTTTGGCGCAGAGATGCGGCAATACTGCATTCACCACAGTAACTCCTCCACCAATTTACTGCGCCGCCTTATGGGGAGGGTCTGGCAGTTTCGTCCGCGTGCTATCGTCGCCGCCAAAAGGACTCTCAATCCTGCCGCACCCATGCTAACAATACCGCCGCGACAATGTGAGCGAATTTTTTGACTCCTCTTCTCCCGCCTACCGTCCTATCATCATCATCATCATCATCATCATCATCTGCAATTCTATTCTCAGCTTCTCAGTCCCCTCTGCATTGCTCCTTATCCTCTTTCGCCCGCATCGGCTACCGCATTGCAAGTTCAAGCCCCACCCGTATGCGCGCCTAGAGACGATCGCTGTCGGCATGGAGGCTCCTGCGATAAAGAAGCGAGGGCGGTCTCGCAAGGTCGACCAGTCTGACCCGAATGTTTCGACAGCCACTACCTTGAGCAGCAGCCCGGTCTCAAACTCCAGAGCATCTCCCTCCCACTGGAACCATGCGGCAAGATCTACCGGTGACGATCAAACCCTTTCGAACGCACAGCCTCGTCATCTGACTGCTCCGTCTGTCGCGAACATCCCTTCACATCCGTATCAGTACGCCACCGAGATTGACACTGACAACGACACCCTCACTGCAAACGACTGGCTTGACAATCTCTTCGGTCCTATACAAGAAAGCCAAGGTCCTGACACTATCTTCCAAGACTCTCACCAAGAACAATTGATGAAAGCGCTACTCGATTACACCGTACAAAACCCGACTCTTACTCAAGGTGTCGACGAGGAATGGAGCAAGATCATGGGCACCTCTCCGACCTCCGCGAATCTGGACACTCCCGACACGCAAATCTCGGTCGTAGATCCCTTTCCGACGCTCGAGTCCTCGAGTCCTCGCCTCACCCCGCGGACTACCATTCCCGCCAATAACCGGACCCCCAATTCCGGTACCGTGTCCCAGACATCACCTGCGACACCCTACTCTGATTCACGTTCCGTCAATGCCCTGGAGGATTCCTGCACTCCGCCCTCATTCAGGGTACCGAAAGCTTCACTTGCTCCGAAGACTTATCCGCCCGATCCAGCAAATAGCAAAGACGCAGCAGACTTGACGTCTGCTGACGGTGAATCCGATAATTCTGCCCCGGATCTCGCCGAGCCTCAATATGTTGATCAAAAAACCCCGCGACAACAGACTCCGGTTAAACTGCCTCTCGGAAGTCCCTTCACACCTACAACTGCACCAGCGAGACAAGCCACGGCCGCCCTGATGGATATTTTTGGCTCTCCCCTTCCGGCTGGCAATAAACACTCGCGGACGCAAAATATGTCTTTGTCGTCGCCTGATCGTGGGTCGACCCCGAAGGTGATCGACCCAAGATATCAAGTCACCCCTGTCAAGTTCAAATCACCACCCAATCCAGCCACATTGATGGAGAAAATGCGCAACAATACTCTCCTCCAGAATGAAGTGTCACGTCATCCAGCGAAGCGCGCACGTATGAGTTCAGTGGGAGCGCAACAGGTCGTCGCAAATATAGAGCGTGACTGGCAAACCCAGCAGAATTTCTACATGCAAAGCCAACAAGGATCTGGAACAGGCGATCCTGGATTGTGTGCGAATATAGAGATTGACGGCATGAAGAACTGGGCCGACACTTCGCTAGGCGACAGTTTACCTTCTCAATCATTGACACCCTACAATAACGAGTACGACTATCCTATCCCTATGCCCACCGGATCGTTCGATGCGCTCAAACAGGAGCATGAAGACTACGTTAGTGTTGGGCAGAAGCGCACCGCGTCGCAGATGATACGGGGTGGCATGGACGCAAACCTGCAGAGATCACCTGGAAACACGGGTCAAGATTACGCGGGAATTGAGCATAATCTTTCAGAACTCTTCATTCCCTTGAGTCAGCTCCAGACTTCGATGCTTGCGGAGCACGGAACTCAAAAGCAGATGAACTACCAGATGCAAATGCAATCTTCTCTACGCATGGAGGGCCGTCGTCAGAGATCCGCAGGAAGTCAGTTCAGTTCTCCTACGCAAGCTCAAACTCCAAGCCAAGTACAACGTGGAGCGCAGCAACAACTTCAATCTTCATTGCAGCCTGAAGTTCAAGGCGAAATTTTGCAAGCTTCCCCGGGCCAACAAATGGGTGTTTTGCAGCAGCGACGAAGTCAACAAGGCACGCCTCAAAATCCCATTGACACCCCCCTGCAAATGGTGAGGTCCACCCCATCCGTTGCCAGCACAGGGCCGCAAGGGACACCCACACCTGCACCACGAAGCCGCCGTTCGAATCTTTCCAAGCCAGCTCAAAACATGGTCAGCAGTTCTCCACAGACTGCTCGCACTCCCTTGAGAAAGGTCCAGAACACCCCGGGCAAGAGACGTGCTCAAGGCCACAACAACCCTATCGCTACTCCTCAGAACGGGACACTCGTGGGATATGTCCAGACGTTAGATGCGCAGCCTATGCAGACACCTGGACATACTCACCAGCAGGACGATGCCTGCAATCACGCTTTGATCGAGACCACTGCGGTTCAAACCCCTACGCCCCTACGTGCTCATCTTCCGACGCCTCAACAGCTTACCTCCACCGGCCCCTGCCCCAATACTATCAATGAGACGCTCGAAGAGACCAACCGCCGCACTGGAGCGCAGCTTTGCGGTGGAGTTGCTGGCGGCATAGATTTCGTCCCGACCTTCAACGCGACTACCGCGGTTGACGACTTCTTGAACAGTCACATGTTTCAGTTTCCTGACAACGTGAACTATGGAGGACTTGATCTCGCTTTGCCAGACATGGACTTTGGCGACATTGTGGACATGGACATGGACCTGAGTCTGGACTTCAATACGAACGAAGGTCTGAATGGATTCATGACCACAGCACCATCGTTGCCCACGACGGTGGACATGCGTCCGATACTTTCACCCATGGTCGCCGACCCTGGCGGCATTGCAGCCGGATCTTCCCTCGGCCACCCCTTGTTCAACAATGATGTTCGCGCTCCCTCGATCGGTTACGCTGAGACGCTCATATCCGATACTGTCACGACTAGCCCTGCTGCTGTCCCTGTCAGGAATACCATTACCAGTACCGATGCCGTTGTGAATGTCGATGCAGATATGAATCTGAATATGCCTGAGAACAACAGCAGTCTGGCTAATAACTCCCAGACGACGCCAAATCCGAACGACGAAGCAAGCTCCGTGCATGCTTGTGCTCTTCCCAACGCCCAGGATGGAAGTGAAGACATGGTTGGGTTGGACATGCCTGAGATACCAACAGACTTCGACTGGATTCAGGGCTTTGATGAGCACGCAGAGTTCGACGTTGCGGACTGGGGACTCTAGAAGGCACAGGTGAGGTGGTAAGGTTCAGGTCATGCAACCTTTTTTTTTTGGTTTGAGATTTGGAAAAATCGAGCTGTGGAGAGCAAGGAAGGGAGGAAAGGGGAGGGCACAATGCGTGTTCAGACAGACACCCCGGCAGGAGAGCACGATGGGTGCCGATTGATCTGCAGGAAGAGTGGCGGGCTGAATTATTTAGATCCAGTGGCTTGAATGAACATGTGCCCCTGCGCATCAACGTGATGGATGCAATGAAGCTGGACAAGAGTGGCCCAACCTTGCAGCTCATTTGGAACAACGCCCCAGTTCAGAGCCGGACGTGATCGAGGCTGGTGGCGGTTGTAGGTACATGTAGGTAGGTAACCTACCTCACTGGGGATCCTCGAATTTCAAATAAAGGCCACTCCTGTGTTTCTGAGGCGCCATGGCCCCACAACATTCCTTTCATTGATTCTCCATGATCTGTGCATTATCGATGATGTATGAAGCCAGCGTGGAATGGAATGGAATGAAATATGCTCAAGTATTCGAGACCAGCAGCCGTATGATACTTGTACAGAAGATGGACTATAACAAAACTCCCTCGAGTGATCCGGGTACGGTATGTATCGCGTTGATAGGTCGAAACCAAGACCTGCGGCAGCGGTCGACATCCCAAGAACGATGGTCCAAAGGTACCTAGGTCCAACAAGGGGTCGCGTTTCCCTCCGTTGCGGTCTCGTCCCACCAAGTTAGCTTAGCTTTGTCGTACCTGTCAGCGTCTACTTCACTGACGTTGCGACGGGGACGTGTGTATCTGTAGCGCTTGCGGTCGAAGGGTCTGGATAGGGATAATACCACTGTATGCAATAGAACAGACAGGTACTTCTAGTGAGAACGAGAGGGCAGGCGGGATGGCCGTCATGGCCAGCAAAGTGAGCTGCAGCAGAATTGTGGTAGCAGAAAGAACAGCCGGCGCTTAGCACGCATAGGCCCTGGTTATATGCACTAGTGTAACGCCATCTCTTCAAGTGGCTGAGAAGGCAAGAAGGCGACGACATTGGACAGCATGAGCATGTCTCCCTTCCTCCTCCCAGGGGCATGGCGACATCTCTCTATTCAGTCAGATCTCGTGCCTCACCTTGTTCGCCAAGCAAGACTCCTCCTACTACTACTACCGGCCATAAGATCCCGCGTCCAAGTCCAAGCCCATTCCATGGCCGATCTTCTTGACCATCCACCTCCTTTTGAAGCCTTCTCTGGCCAGCTCCCTTGTTCTTCTTGCCCAAATCTCACTACCGACCCTCCCTCGGACGAACCCTTCTTGCAGGGCTAATATCGCGGCTTCGATACCTCGCTCTTCACATGCTGCGTCGTACAATTGGCGGGCCACAACTGTAGGAGCGGTGAGCATTTCATCCACGGCGGGTATATCGTTTCTGGAAGCGCGGCTGTGCGAGGAGGATATTGTGCCGTCCGCGCTCTTCAACGAGCTCTGGAGGAGGGAGATGTTTGAAGACAACGTTGTGTGTAAGGTCTTGAGGTTTGCCAATTCACTGTTCAGTGTTTGCATGGTTTGCTGTAATGCGGCGTGTTGCGAGGAGAGAGGTTGTAAAGCTGAGGAATTCTGGGAGATCTGTTGATGGAGAGAGGTGGTGAGGAGGTGAGAGAGGTGTGACAAAAGAGCTTCCTTCTCGGGGTTCACAGGAATGGGTGGTGCGGGGATGTTTGATGACAGATTCGAGGTGGAAGAGGTTGGTGGTGGCAAGGGAAGGTCGAAAGGGGAGTCGAGAAGATTGGGTTGAGGGGGAGGGGCTGGCTTGGGTGCCTGGAATTGTGCCTGAGCATGTTGCTGATGATACACAGAGTGAGGTGGCTGATAAGTTTGTTGGGTTGACGGATAGTGCTGCGATATAGGTCGTTCAGGACGTTCTTGTGCTGGTATCTGGCGGTATTGATCTTGATTGTAACCTTGAACCTGGCCTGGAGTGGGCGGTGGGCTCACATAAGGTGGCTGCTGGCTAGGCTGGGTTTGGGCATATTGGTGCGATTGGCCCGGTCGAGGTCGCTGAGTTCTATATTGGTGTGATTCATATCCTGGTTGTGGCTGCTGCGATGGAAGCGGAGGCGGCATGGAGTGCCTCAGACTGCTCGATCGCTGGGGCATGTAACTCATCCCGCTCGGTGGCCCCTGCACTTCGCCGTTGCCATGCGCAGGCTGGAGCTTTTGAGGTTGGCCTTGACCGGGTAAAGGCGGTGGAGCATCGTATCGTCCCAGCCTTGATGGAGCGGCATCAAGCCCTGAACTTCGTTGCGGTGGAGATGAAAGGCCACTCTGCGGAGGTTGTTTTGGCGGAGGAGGTGGTGGAGCAGGAGGCCCGAGTTGTTGTCCTGCTGGAGGAGGACTCGCCGCGTGGAAGACTTGCTGCGTAGGCTGCATCTCTCTGGGTAAAGGCGGAACAGGTGGAGGTGAAGGTTGAACTGCTCTCTGTTGCAGTTGTGCTGTCCTCGACATCACCGGAGGCTCCTTCGCAAATATGTCGGACAGAATGGAGAGTAAGTCCAAGACATTCGATCTCTACATAGATCCCTCGTATCAATATATGGTCGCTCCCTGCTTTGACCTCGCTCCGCTCTTGACTCACCTCCCAGTGTTCCCTCCAGTGCGCCAGATAAGGATGATATATTCTTCCGTCTCCACCGACATGTTGGCCCGGTCGAATTATCATATCATCGGTCGGCGTGACATAGCACATGGGTGGTTCGTATGGATAGGCGTGCGGAACCCATAGTGTGACAGGAAATCGGTAGGTGTTGCCTCGAAAGTTCACCGGGATGGTGCCTGTGAATACGACCAGGAGCGCCGGCGCTCCAGTCTCGAACGCTGAGAGAAGCGATCAGCAAGGTCTCATTGCTTCAATCGCGCGACGCACTGTAGACATCTGTCCTCGGAGCAAAGCCCGGATAACGGGCCAGGACATGGGCAAGGTCCGAGTAGGTTCGATTCGGGTCGTGATACTCCTTTTGAGGTCAGTACTCGACAACGGCTTCGATGGACCCTCTTCTTACTCGCTTTAAAACGTCGTATAGCCAGGCCAGAGTCTTCTGCGGCAGACCGGCCATCAGCGCAACATGGTCTAAGAATATTCAGGATAGACATTAAGACGTCCACTCAGTCCACCGTTGGGGTTGGGGCTTTGCTCATTGGGCCAAGCATTTATTCAGTGCCTCCAACTTAGATAATGCGGGGAATGTTTCCAGAAGAACTCTAGCAAGTGTGATCGATTATGGTCCAGCGTGTACAGCTCATCATCGCATTGAATTCTGGGGTATCATAAACCTAGGACTAATCATACACCATCATCCTGTCTATCTCTTGTCGTCATCTTCTCGCCACCATATCATGCGTCAGATACCGTAGGCTCCCTGCTGTGGGACGGGGTCTGCTCAATCTATTTCTACTGAGCGGCGGCCTGCTTGTCCAAGTCTAACTCGACACCACGCTGTCTGGTCTTGCCCTCATCATGCAAATCTTGATACTTGGCCTGCTCGGCGCGGTCGCCTGTAAGCGCGGCCACCGCACCGCCAACAGCACCTTGAGCACGATCACTAACGCCTTTTCCGAGGTCACTCAACTGGCCCTTAGCTTCTTGACCTTGACCTTGGAGATTCTGTTCGCGACCTTGCTGCTTGAGGTCTTCGCTGCCGACCAGGTTGCCCACGGTTTCCTTAGCGCTACCGACAGTCTGGTCCCATGATCCTTGGGTGCGGTCGGGGCTGTCTTTGGCAGGTGCGCCAGACGAGCTGATGGCGAAAGGACCAGCCTTGGCAGCGGTGTGGGAGAGGTCAGATTCGGCGGCGGCCTTGTCCTTGTACTCATCAGCTTTGGCCTGGGAGAGAATGTTAGCGACAGGTCTGTGCGAGGGACTTGTTGAAGCTCACCTTGTCACCAGCGCTACCGGTCACAGCTGCTATACCCGACTGGACAGAGCCAGTAGCGGTGTCAACAGCCGACTTGAAAGTTGAGGTGTTATCATTGGAAGACATATTGGAGGAGTTTGTGTGGTTGTTTTGGTATTGAATAGTGTCTTGTTGGGTATGGTATGTTTTCTGAGGGAAGGTGTTCGGTTGCGAGGCTAGGTCGTCGAAGAGGTCGGGAGCAAGGCTTTATAGACAGAAGATCGAGTCGGGCTTTGTGTGTCGTGAACGTGAAACTTTGGCAGGGACTGGTGAACCTGTTCACTTGCTGGTCAGCAGGCACAATGCAGGTGAAGCATGTGCACATTTTCGCCTTGGTCCCCACCATCGACGTCATCGAAGAATCGGGGCGAAGGCACCACAAATCTGGAAAAGGAATGCGCTTCTGACAACAACACGCAATCCCTTTGACCAAGATTGCGCTCGATCTCGATTCGTGCTTCCTCGATCCTGGTCTCAAGATTCAGGAAGCTTCCCGTGGCAACGATTGGTGTGCTTCGCTCTTCCCGGCAAGCTGGGCCCTTGGATGCCTCGATGCATATTCGTAATGTGTACTGCAGAGATTGTCAGGCACTTGCCTCTGCGCCAGCGAAGGCTTCAATTTCGCCATTGCCGTTCAGTTCATATATCTTGTATTTTTTGCGTAGGCCGCGCGTGCAATTCCAACTCACCCGAATCGCAATTTGGGGCACACAAACACAAGCAGAAATGCCACGATCCACATGCCAAAGATCATGGCATAGAGTTTCAGCCTCCCAAGCCAACCTTCTTCTTCACTCATCCGCTGAAGGAATTTCATATTCTTGCTCGCTGCTTCCATGCCACTTAGGCTGACATCGAGCCCCTCGATTGCTCGTCCAAGGATGCTCTTGTCCTGCTCGAGGGAGAATTGCAGCTTCCTCTGCTCCTGTTTGAGTTGAGCTGCCATGTTCACTAGCGACGCCGTGATATCCTCGTGCACCCTCGAGGAATCCAGCAGTGACCGCTCCGTGGCAGGTAGGTTTGAGAAGCCACTCGTTTGCGCGGGCGGCTGATGGACCTCGTGTCCTTTGCCTCTCCGTCGCAGGTGTGATGATCCGAATAACTCTTCCTTTGTCACTTCGTCACCCTGTTTGTCTGGCGTAGAGGGCTCTTTCTCCACTTTCGTCACAGTTTTGCCTTCTTCCAGCAGCGCGTCTTGGGTATTCTCGCCTACCACACTCGTTGGGCCTCGAGATTCGGCGTGCCTTTGCAGAAAGTCGTAGACCGTTTCGCCCTCGACATCTCGAAACGGAGGTTTCCAATTGTCTGTAGCCAACATCTCAACCTCCCTCCCGATTTCCTCTATTCTGTTCCGCAGCCTCTTTATGACAGCCCTCTTCTCGGCCAAATCCTTGACTGCCTCATATTTTGACCGTTGTACGCGAATAGTTTGTGCCTTTCTCTCCAACTGTAGCAGCGATGTCCGAGCGCCTTCCACGTTGCGCAGCCACTTCGTGCGATGGTACGGTAAAGGCGACCATAGCTCGGCCTGAACCTGCCGTTGCAGTGGCGTCAGTTCTGTCGTGTTGCCGGCAGCGGGGGACGGCGTCAGGAGAATCAAGTGCTGATAGCGGATGAGGGTGCGGTGAAGGTTGATGTAGTTGACTTCATGGTGGAATGGTCGCGTGGAAGAGTTGTCGGGCAATGAGCTTTCTCGTCTTGAGCCACCGCCGAATGGGAGGCCGACTGGTCTAAGGGCGGTGGTCAAGGACATCTGAGTTACGGAGTTGAAGGGTAACAACAAGTTGGTTGTGGTTCTGTGCTCGTGGTGCTCGCCTATTGTGCCTGATGTCAAAAGTTCCAGGCCACGTTTGTACGATGGGCAGCGGGACCGGATACTAAATCCGTCCCGGCTCTTCGCCCGCCTGGGTGCTTCTGAGGATCAACCTCCCCCAGTACGCTGGTTCATCGTCAGGCGATACTACCTTCTACGCATACTTATATGTTGAACTATGCCTCCGCATCTGACAGGCCTTTGTGCCTGGCACTGGCCATGGCTGGTTCGGAATTCTACACTAGAAAAACAATCCCCGGATAGGGATGGTGAAGGCCATCTTCAGCCTGTACTCGTACAAATGAAGTCCATTGGTCCGACGATGCTACAGTATTCGGCGCATCGGGCTCGTGAGCCGACCGCGCGACGCCTTTGTAAATCCCAATCTTGTTCGTGTGAGCGTGTAGAGCGCGGCTGAAGCCCCGAGACACAAAGTTACAGTGGTTGCCGTAGCCAACCCAATCAACACAGCACCAATGTCCTGAGGCAGGCAGACCACGCACACCGTGTAGCACCGCGGCGTCGCGTCACGAGCACGAAGCTTGACTGTTTCCCTCCTGGCCAAGATGCTAACAGTACTTTAGCACTCTTTCCTCTCTCACAGGCAGACGCCAATCGAATATGAAGTATAAAGGTGGCTGTCCTTGATGCGTTGAAAGTGTCACCTGAAGTTACCACTGTGGTTGGCCGGCAGACCGTCTGTTGCATATTCCATACTGCGCATTCTCCCTGTGCAGTGGCCTAAAGCCTTAGCGGTAGGATCTGGATATCGACCATGGAGGGAGGGTTGCAGACACCGCTTCCGAGGAATCGAGCATGGACACACGCTACTCCCGGTCCTCCGGAGAGAGTCCTTTCACTCCAAGACAGTCTCCCGCGACCGCAATTCAGTTCTACCACACAGGTTCTAGTACGCGTCCAGTACGCGGCTCTCAATCCAGGCGGATCAGTCATGATGCAGCTATGTCCTTCTTTTCTGAGGGCAAAGCCAAGCATCCCGGAAATGGATTTCGCGGGACAGATCGAGGAAGTGGGCGTCGACGTGGACCCGTCCCAGGGACTGTAGCCAGGAGTCGGTGTTTTCGGGAGTATACCCGTGTCTGAACATCTGAAAGGACATGGTGCCCTCAGCGAGTACGTCGTCCTCGACTCTCGCCACGTCTGCATTGTTGCGAAAGCGATGGAGATGCCAGAACTTGCTGGCTTGCCCATAGCAGGATGCACGGCCCTGTGTCTGGCAGAAAAGGCCGACTTGCGACACAGCCAGAAGATCCTGGTCAGTGGAGCTGCTGGAGGGGTAGGATCGCTGGTGACGCAGAAGGTTCGAAATGCCGTGGGAGAGGAAGGCCGAGTCGTGGCGGTCTGCTCTCGCGAGAAAGAACAACTCGTTCGAGAGCTCGGCGCAGAAGAGGTGAGAACGGGCAGAGTTTTGATTCCTCCACGTGCGTTCTGTTTCATTCCCTTCCACTAAGACCGAGGACTAGGTCTTCGACCATCGAACGCCAGTCCCTGTCCACAAACTACTGGCGGAGAAGTACGCTGGCGACAAGTTCGACACCATCATCGATGCATATGGAGTGCAGTCACTATTCGATAACTGCGCCGACTTCTTGAAAGAAAGCGGCTCCTACATCACTGTCGGCATCGCATTCGATCACTATACGTACACCAGCATGCTGCTGGCGGTTAGCCGGATGCTGAGGAACGTCTTGTGGCCTCGCCTTCTGGGCGGCACACCAAGGAGATATGTCCAGGTAGCTTCTGTGTGCACTTTGGATGGTCTTCAGAAGTTGAAGGACCTCTGCGAAGACGGAAAGCTGAGAGTCCCTATCGATTCAATTTGGGACTTCGACAATGTGCCAGATGTAGGAACCCCCGAAGTCTGCGGTGAAGCGTTTGACGTACGCTAACAAAAATCCCACCAGTCCTACAAAAGGATATTAAACAGACGCGCCAGCGGCAAAGTTGTCGTCAAGATCAGTTAGGCGAGAGATATCCTGTATACGAGCTGGCGTCGTCTTTGCCTGCTCGTGTTCGGAAGTCTCTCGTGCTTCTGATGTGTGCGCCCCCCCGTGGCTGCAACGGAACCATGTACTGTACGATTGATAAAACCTTCGCGACCCACGGCTGTACAGCCTGAGAAGGGCCCGCTTGTCCCCAATACCACTTCGGGCAATTCTAGAATCTGAGAAATGTCATTCCATTCAGCCCTGTTCAGACTGTTCAGCTCATAGCCGATATGCAGACATAAGGAGTTTGGGGTATCGTTGCTCACCGAGCTGTGTGTGCGCATGCCGTACGTTTGGCCTGTGATCGACCTCGCGCCTTGCCCAACACCACGATCTCAAAGATAAGCCTCCTGTTGTTGATGATCCCAGTGCGTTACAAGCTGCTCACCCACCGTGAATCGTAAAAGTCCCTCACAACAAGTCCGCCTAAACTGTGCATGTGGTATGGAACGAGCTACTTGCTCGGGTTCGGCTCCTGGGATGAGACTGGTGTTCTACTGTAGACCCGTCTGAGCCTCGCGAGGTGGTTTCGAAAGACATAACTGCGTAAGAGCGCATTGATTGTCAATGCAGAACATGATCCAGAGGCCTCTTATGCCTGGGGCCGCGGGTCGAAGGGACCTATTCACCACAATGAGGAGTGATGGTGACAACAAGGCAATAGTATTGATTGAGGCGAGTCGATGAAGTTACCAGTTAGTGCCGCGTCGGGCCAGGCATAAGGGTCGTCATGGACTCCTTCCGAACGAACAGTACTCCGTACAGTCCCGGCAAACGGATCAGCCGTTGCCTCGTGAAAATGGGAATAGAGCTGATTGAAGGAGAGAAAATGGTGCATGCGAAGATAACCTGAAGCTGGGAGAAGAAACTGTAGGAGTCATGCATGGTGCACTGAAGCAACCCGGCCTCTGAAGTCATCATTGACATAGCATGCCATGTATGAAGAGGACGTCGTCCATTGCCCGACTGCAACTTGGTCAACTCGGTCCAGATGTGCTGAAATCGACCATTGGACACTCAGCTGTTCCAGGCGAATGTGCGAGTGATTGTTGGGAGAAAGCAATCCATCCTCAGGCGAGAATTCTCGACCGCGGTCATGGCTGACATTCTCCATAGCTCGTCAGCCTGGTAATCATGCGCAACACCCTCCAGAAGCTATTGTGGCTGCTTGGTCCCAATACACCTGGAAGATTTACAGCCGTCTCGTATTTGCTTATGTCTGTCTTTCGGAGAAAGGTGATATACAATGGCCTGGTTCTCTGGTCCGAAAGTCTAATCAAGCACAAGCTCCCAATCCTCCATCATCACCACCGCGTAAGCTACGCCAGCTAGGCAGCACCCGGCTCCACTTTAGTCGTCCGCAAAGTCTCTGAATCCTTCCTTCAAGTCACAAAGAAAACGAGGTCGCTTTTGGTTGGCATAGATCATCGGTACAGGAAGAGTACACTGGCGACCCGGGTAGGATTGGCTGCGCAAAGCAGCGGGGAAATGGAAGCCCTTCATTTCCTCAAGCCTTCGTCACCTTGGATCAAGGTCCGAAAGCCGGGGGCTCGGAAATTCGCTCATGTCGAAGAAGAGGAATCGATAGCCGACGTGAATCGTGGCAGTGGGTCGAAATCAGGAACAGGTAATTCTTCGCCAATGTCAAGGAGAAAGAGAGTAAAGCCGTTCCTGCCAACGCCGGTGGTATATGCAAAGTCGTGAGCAAATCAGGGCAGAAATGACGCTACGCCATCAAGGTGACCGTCATCATATGAGTCCGCACATTCGAAGATTTTCTTGGATGATGATATCTGCGACGCGGTTAGAAAGTGGATATTATGCATCAATGGCCGAAGCATACCGTTGACGGCGCCCATGACGAATCTTATCTGCGTTGTATCCGTCGCGCATGTGAAGTGGGTATAAATCTGTTTCGTCTCTGCTTGGTTGAGCGACACAAATCGGTTCAGGATGTAGTCGCAAGCAGCGGCATAGTCGGGACCGCCTATAGCACAGAGTCAATAAAAGTCCCCTGGACACTGCTGTTGAAAGGAACTAACCTTCATAGTCCGGGAAGTAGTTCTGCATCGGGCTCACAGGAAGCTTCTCCTTGAACCTGTCAATCTTGTTCAAGAAGAGGATTATGCTGGTCTTGATGAACCACCGAGAATTGCAGATGCTATCGAAGAGCGTGAGCGCCTCCTGCATGCGATTGACAGTCTCATCCTCAAAGAGGAGTTGATCGTATTCCGAAATAGCAACAAGGAAGAGAATAGTGGTGACATTTTCGAAGCAATGAATCCACTTCTTTCGTTCCGATCGCTGTCCACCGACGTCAAACATGCGATATGTCAGGTCCTGGATGATGAAAGTGGTCTCGGTGATACCAGTCGTCTTTACTCGAGATCGCAGAACATCCTGATCGTTAGGAAGGTAGTCGTGGGCAGCAATGCGGTCAATGGAGTCGAAGTAGCTGACGCCCGACATTAGCAAACATACCGCAGACAGGTGCGAATTTCCACTCACTATCGTGCCGAATCGTTGAGCTGATATTCTCTTGATCGCTTGAAGCATTCCTGAACACCGACATCCTGCCACAATGCCTTGATGGCCGCACCAACTTCAGGTGGCATGCTGTCTCCCTCGATCTGTTGTGGTTGCATAAAGATTGTCTGAACGTGATACTCGGCCCGTTGGTCGTCCAAGGGCAGCTCCAGGGATTCCATCGCTTCTAAGATTACGCGCATGGATTGGACGGTGTTGGAGAAGATGATTTCTTTGAAAGATTCGCGTTCATCGCGCGAATATCCGCCCTCATGGATGAGCTTCATCTGTTTGAGTATAGTGGACTTCCCGGATTCACCAGCGCCTAGAGTACAGTTAGGTTGTGTACTGCCAATGTTGAAGAGAAATGTAGCCCACCTAGAAGTAGCATCTTGATCTCGTTGCGCTGGGCCATCTTATCCCTCTTGAGTTGGTTCTCGATCTCATCGTTTCTTGCCTTGCCGGCCGTGTCTTCCTTGCTCGCACCGCACCCCATTTTTGAGGATCTGGATAGGGAGACTTTGCACGAAGGAAGATAAGAAATGGATCGTTCTCGGCGCTCGAGGGAGACTGGACACTGTCAGTAAACACACTTTGTCTGAGTACCGGAATGAGCGACGCGCATGCGGACTTCTCGATCTAGCAGATACGAGAATATCCTCTCCGTGTTGCAGCTCTACCACGTACCTCCGTTTGGAGCTGGGAGAGGTTGTCAAGGTGAACGGATGGTGATGTTCGGATGACAGAGGATTTGATATTGAGGTTCGGGTGTGATGGAAATCCGAAGGGACAATCCGCGCGGGTGCAGGAGAGGATCCGGATTATTTGGCGTCGATCACTGAGCGCTGGGCGGGCGTCAGGGGACGAGATCTCGCGGATCGACTAGCAGGACGCAAGAGGGTAGTGAGTAGCAGGAAGCGCGCTGCCCAACACTCAGTCTCTCACGAGAGCCTCTCCCAGGAGGATGTTGTTCTACAGGAACAGGCAAGAGTAGATGACGATAATGTACAAAGGAGAGGAGCTGATTGAGGGAAAGATGGTGGTCGGGTCCAACTGTTTGGAGGAGCTGGAAAGACGGGGATGAAAATGGACTTTCTTGGGATGATCAATCCGTGCAGGGGAGTTGCAGTGGCTAGCGCAGTTTGCGCTGATGAATGAGGATGGACGACAAGCGAAGCAGGGGACACCAACGCTACGGCGAAAAAGAGACAAGGGCCGGGAATCGAGAAATCCAAGGTCTGGTCGCAAAGCCACTTGGAGCTCCAAGCTGGACACCCGCAAGAGGAGCGCAATCCTTAGGCGAGCATGGGTCTTGCCGGCGGGCTTGCTCCTCTCCTGGCTGTCAGTTGGTTGGCCAGTCGGTCGCTGCTATGGCGCGAGACTTCCCTTGCCGGCTGGAGTTTACGTTAGTGGCGACCGCCAGCTGCAGTTCAGCAGCTACTTGCTCACTAGTGCTCCAGTTCAATTGCGTTCCCCCAGAAGAGAAAGGAGGAAAATGTCTATGCACCTCAGGGTCTCGGACGATAGATTGCTCCCTCCAGGCCCTAACTTGCTACACTGACTCAACCTCAAGTCAAGTTCAGCATTTGCTGGTCTCTTCAATATTAACACTTCGCTGGTCACGTCACAAAGCTAGTGTCAAGAGACAAGCATTCTTCTGGTGAAATGGGCACCGGCTGTTGCCTCGCTGTCACTTTATCTTCGTGCTGGGACACTGTCGTGTCAAGCTTCCACCGCGCTACTGATGATGGTGCCACCCACTCTCACCCACCGCTTTTCCAGCTATTCTCACTGGCTGCCGCCTCTACCCTTGTCCTTGCCTAGATAGCCAACCTGGCCTTGGTCGACACCTGAAACTGCCCACTTGGTTGCACCTTAGCAGGCTGCTTCGGGATATGGTCATCTTGTTTTGGCGCAGGGGGAGCCATCGCTCCAGGTTTTATATTCCTTTCCGTGTGCCTGCAGACTTGCATCTGGAACTACGTACTGTCTCAACCCAGGAAAATGGGCGCAACCGTAACAAAGCAGCACACAGTTCCAGAAACCGACTTCACCCGAACGGTTATAAAGTCCCTTTCTTTGTTGCTGCACACTTTTGGGCTTTTGCTTCGGGGCTTCACAGTCCGCAGTTCTAGTGCATTCCATTCTCCGCAGAACGTCTGCGAAATACGCAGTACACAAGATGGTGGCGCCCAACTCGAGACTCTGATGCTGGATCCTGCGTACCAATGGCTTTTAGGTCGACGTAGCAACCGAGAAACAGCGAGATAAGCTCATTCCACCAGTTCCTTCCCGTATGACTTACTCCATTACGTATCATGTGATGATGGCTTGTGAATGCCTCGAGATCGGGCTTGTTTTCAGTCTGTTTCACTGGTATTTCACTGGGCTCTTGCATAGACTTTCGGCATTGTTGGTGAGAGGCGACTGAACTTCGGCCTGGTCATCAGAGAACCGTTCAAGTTGCCGACTCGGCCAGATGTTGTCGCTTCGAGCTTGAGATTTTCATCGGATCGACGATGCCTGGATCCTTGCAAGCGCCAGCCATAGTTGTCCTGAAATCTCGTAGATTGGGTAAAGTCAATCAGGAAGGTGTGGAGCTAAACCTGCATACGGACGCCCGACCCAGGTTTACGGGTCTCATCAAGCGGAGCGGTCGATCTGGCCACCAACTTATGCACGGAAAGGGTGACATCTTGCGTCCCTTGTTTCATCTTTACACTCGTTACTCGAGTCATCCCACAGCAGTCAAGTCTCGTCTTTGCGTGCAAGTTACATCGCTCATGTGAGTTGAACGTGAGAGCAAAGGCCCTTTCACTCTGTCGGACTTCTGCAGGGCTCCCCTTGTGGAAAGCGCCCGCCCCTGCTTGTTCCCCTGCTTCTCCGACTCCGAGAAGTAGTGAAATGATGATCATTCGTCCAGCCCTTAACCTTTGCTGTGTTCTGCATTGCCGATCAGTGCCACAATTTGCTTCCCACCAACCCGGCAACGCCATCAAATCATGCCCGCTGACGCTATCGCGCTCTCCGGACTCGGCGCTTGCTTGACGTGTCGAGGCTGCCAACAAGGTGCCTACCATGATTGCTGTCTTCTACGATTCGCCTATTTATCCCGGCTCGAAATAAAGCATCGTCGCATTGGGATATCGGATGTCTCGATTGAGCGTGGGAATGTCAAGATCAAAGCCGCTTTGACGTAAAGGGACTGAGGGATCGGCATCTTGACTCCAACCGGATGAGTTCCTCGCTAAAACTGTAACGAGAAGAGTCGCTTCGCTGCTGTCCTCGCCTGCCAAAACCAACCGGTCATGCGAAGTGATTGAATGAATCACAATCCAATATCACAAATGTCGGCCAACGCGTGATGGTCAGATTCTAACGACCTTGAGGAGCTTCTGGAGGGGTCCAAACCGCGATCTGAGGTTTCAGCGCACGAGCACAAAGACGCACAGCAGAAACCGAGCTTGGGACAGATGTCAGTCAAGATGTCTATCACGAAGATGAAAACTCTTTTCTCCAACGGGAGAGGCTATCGACAGGTATGGACGGAATTGTGGTTCCCTCGCCCTCATCTTCAAGAATCACGTTGGCTGTCAGTTCTAGGTTCTCCTTGTTCAGAGTTCGCCAACATTCGGGACGACGTGTTGCGACACTCTGCAGCTAGGGTACTCCCCCGTTCTGGAAAGTGATCTATCTTTAGACGGGAGTGTCAGGCGGTGATGTTGATGTCCAAAAGTTACACAGTATTTGCCCACCTAGACAGCCTTGCGCTCCAGGGCAAATTCCCCACCGTGTTGAGTTGCTGCGTAGGTCACCCGTCGGCTGAGATTTGGCTATCTCTTCTCCAGGTCGGTCGCATGCTCGAGATGCAGGCCGAGTATCCAGACAACGACAGTCTCGCTTGGTCTTCAGTAACAATTTCCATACCTCAAGCGACCCCACATCAGCCTCGCCAGCAGCGTTCGCGATGTGGGGTAAATTCTGTTTCCCGGATCGAGCATAATGGGCGTAAGGTCTCTTGGGCGAAATTATGAATAACCATCTCCCATGAATCGTGTCACAGCTGCGCTCCTCGTAGGCCAGGACGTTCTCCAAAAAGTCAAGAGACCGTCGGTTTTTGCCTGAAAACTTTCCGGGTTCCCTCTGTTGACAGCCGTCTCGAGGATCACCAGAGTCTCAACTGAAAACAACACTCCATGGGACATGAACCAAGTACTGTAAGGAAGGCGTCTGTCAAATGAGGATTATCCACGCATATTCTACAAGACCCGTTCAGCCAAGCAGGAGATTGTCATATGTTCCATTCATACAAAATGTTTTTATCGTGAGCGATCGCTGGCTTCTCGTCGCATGGGAAGCCTCGCTCCCCCAGCAATTTGAAAAACGCTTCAACATTCAAGCCGTGACCTGGGATTCCCAGTCCAGCACATGACGATCACTCTCGGATCTTGCATGATTTATGCGCTCCAACACTGAGTTGTGAAGGCACAGACTTCTCCGCATAGCGAGGAGGACGACCTAAGCGCTGGCACCGTTGGCTTCTCCGCTCATGTTCGAGGCGGCTTCTCCAACCCCAAGATCCCACTTAATTCGTTCTTCACCAATGAGCCACTGCGATCAGCCCGCCATGTGGGTTTCCAAGATTCGCTGACCTTTCCCTCCGCAATTGGGCCCCACGATCGAGGCCTGAAAGTGTACAAGCCCGCGTCCCGGGCACGTTTTTCGACGGCTAGAACATGGGTCTGCCGATAGGTGGCACACGAAGGGTCATGACCCTCGCTTCTCCAGAAGCTCAGTTCGCAGATGTGAGATCTTTCTCTTGCATCACCTCTGTATGACAAAAGCACCTGATAACGGACTTTCGCCGCCATGGCTCTCATCGGCACTTCAACCATTGTGTTTCCGAAGCTTGATAAAGAGAACTCTGCCGGAAAGAGGAAGCATGTATGCAGTGTCTGCTCTCGAGCTTTCAAACGCAGTGAGCACTGCATTCGCCATCAGCGGGGCCGTAAGCTACCTTTTTTCTTGCCAACGCTGCGATGATTCTTGAAGCTCTCTCCCCTGGACCATTCGCTAACGACTCCCGTAGATACGCAGGAGAAGCCATTCGGCTGCAGAGTATGTCGAAGAAGATACAGCAGAAGGTAAAGGTGGCGCTGAATTCCTGATCGGGCAGTCTATTGATATCCGTTTCGTTCAGAGACCTCCTCGTCCGCCATGAGAGGACATTGCACACGCCAGAACAAGTAGCGAGTGCTATAAATGGATCATACGAATCGTCGTCAGGTACGGTCATTCCAGCTTTAACGGGGTAGTGCCTGACGGAGGTCTTAGCGAAGCATACCTCGACCAGCCCTCCCGCATCTGGAGACGAAGCCATCGATGAGACCGGTGGCATTGCGGGACACTCTTCCGCAACCGCTCGAACGAAGCTCAACCGGCCTACAGGAGATTCTTTGAGCTCCGTATCCAAACATGCCTCACACTCAGCAGCAAGGTCGGATATCGGCAAACCAACAAGTCCCTCGCCGAAGAAAATTCGGGTCAATGCAAAGAGTGCCGATCTTTCAGTTGACCACTCATTAGACTCAAGCGCCAGAGCTGGGTCTGCTACACTTCAGGATCTACCCTCGACAATGGGGCTGCATTTGGGCGATTTCAGCGTCGACGTTTCCGACCTGGAGAAGATGCGGACCTTTCCCAGTTCCGTGCCTCTCCCTGACTTGGACGGGGATCTCGAGTTCCTCGACTTCTTCGATCCCTTTCTGGGTCTACCTGCTAAGCAGGTTGAAGCGTTCACCCTGCCTCCGCTCAACACGGACGGTTGGTCGCCTTTGGAGAATTTTTCAGGTTCCAGCCAGAGTTCCATGCAAGACTATGGCTTTCAGCAAACTCATCTCCTAGCCACGAATGAGTCGCCATCCGTCGACGATAGCAGTCAAACATGGGGACCTACAATCCACACAGAGCCCAATGCCCGAGAATACTCGTCCGCATGGGACGAGGCGCCGGGACGGGCGTTTGTCACAACCCGTGCCGAACCAGAGAAGTCGTTGAGCTTACAGGTTCCGCCGACGAAGAACTCAAAGCAACCACCGCTTGTCTTTACAGAGTCGATGAGACATCATTTACTCCAAGACCTGTCGAGCAGGCTATGTCCTGAGGAAGTGAGCAACTTTCGATTACCCACCGCTGCTGCGCTTCAGAAATGCATTCGGACATATATTGACGCTTTCCATGTTCACCTGCCCATATTTCATATTCAAACCATGGACCTTGAGAGCACACCAGCTCCTCTGGTCCTCGCCATATGCGCAATTGGCGCCCAGTATCGCCTTGAAAGAAAGGTCTCTGCCTCGTTATACCTGAAGGCCGACCAAGCACTCGCCGCCGCCGTTGTTGACCGTGGTGACCATCTCCACAAAAAGCCCCGATTGCTGGAAGACTGGGTTCGTCCGGGACCTCGATTACGGAAGTCGACACCCGACGCTCTCTGGCAGAGTCAGACTCGTCTCTTACTTGCCATGCTTAGCTGCTTCAGTGGTGATTCAGAAGTAATTTCCAAGGCTATCGTGCATCTTGGTGACTTCCTCATAGTGAGTATGACACGGTATAATGAAATGGAAAATCTCTGACTGGTCGTAGGACTTTCGCGAGCTCGCACCCATTGTGCGGTTTCGGAGAACCGAAGCAGAGCCACTGACATGGCGGGAGTGGATCGAGAGAGAGAGCGTCAAAAGGTAGTTGAGGTCCACGCGATTGGCAATCTCTCCCTGACATATTACCCAGAGTACTTTACGGCCAAATAATGTTCGGCAATCTTGTCACAATGACCTATGGTATCCCGCCCGGATACTCGGTGGTTTCGGACGGTTACATCGAGATGCCGTGCGATCAGTCACTGTGGGACGCACTCACGGAAGATCAGTGGCACGAAGCCGCCCTACGAAGAGGCCAGAGCTCACCGCTCAATGTCAAAGACGCGGTCTCGATGGTGATGAATGGTAATTCAACGAAGAGCGTGCCGCAAGAATGCTGGGAGTGGTCTCCATTTGCGATCAGTGTTGTAATCAACGTGATATCCATCCACATCTGGCACATCACACAGGGCTCGTATTTCTTCGGCGGGTTCTTGAGCCCAGGACAGGTGGACGACACTCAAAAGCCACAAACCCTTGCACAAACCGAAGCCGCACTTTCGAGATGTCGTGCCCTGATCACGCAAGCCAGCTCTGACGCAGACTATCCATGGACAGAGGCAGAGACACCGCTGCTGTTCAACTGCCTAGCCCTTTTGCGTGTCAGCTATTGTCGGGCATTTACAGGGCACAGCGCGGCAGATTCGATGATGCTACTGAAGGAAAGCCAGGAAGAATTTACTGCTTCCATCGAAGATTTCGTTGCGATGCCGCAGAATCGGGGCAGCCTGGTCGCCAGAGCTGTGAGTCGGGCATTCGAAGGCATGCTGATACCTTACAAAGCGGGAACAATGCTCATCAAGAAGACGGCTGCCCTTACTTGGGCGGTCGGTCATGCTTTGGCAGGATGGGAAGTTGGTAAGTCATCTTGTGCCCAGTTTCGTCTTCCAGGCCCGTCACTGACTCTTGAAACCAGCACTACTGGTCACGAAATGGGTACACGCCATCGAAGTCGAGACGAGGACGGGCAAAGGTGGTCCAATCAGCGAGCTCGAGGCGCAGACCATGCAGGCGGTAAAGAATCTTCTTTCAGAGGTCGAGGACGGATTTGGCACTGAGATGGAGTCTTCATTAGCCTCCAAGCTGGCGCGATATTGGGCGGGATTTTATGACGATACCTGGGTCTGGGGTGTTACTCCACGCATGGCGAATATCCTGCGGGAGCTGGCGATGTGCTATGAAAGCAAGCTGGCAGCTTTATGACCTGACGAATCATGATAGCCTGCGGATGTGCTACATCTCTGCAATGAAAGAAGTCCGCTGCCACCAAACACAAGACTGGCTACCGATGGCTCCGATAGTGCATACTGCGCAAACTCACCCGTCTCTCACCCACCCACCATCAACTCATCACCTAGGCTTAGTCATCACGGCACGCAGGGTTCCCCAGATGCAGCTACGGCTTCCGAGATCGCATCTTACAGCCGATCGCTGGGCAGATCTCTCCCGTGCAGCTTTCTGGTCGACCATCAACGACTTGTTGTTCTTACATCGTCCGTATTCAAGGTACATAGACTCTCGCGCGTTAGTTGTCCAGGGTCCTCAGCCTTCTCGACACCCTTCTATTCTAGAGGTATCGCAAGTTAGCCAATCCTCATCGACTCACGCGTGCAACATGTCCTACGAAATGTCGACGCAGCATGGAACGCGTGTAGGAGCAAGACGTAAGGCCATTCTACCTGCCACCTGAGCTTCTCCCCTGTGAGGTATGCTAACGAAGGTCCTATGCAGCGTTCAACCACAATCAGTCCCAAGCCGCCGAACAGGAGTACGACAGACTCCGAAATCTCGCACGTCAAGAAGCCTCCAAACGCGCCAACTGCTTTCAAAGATCGCAACAAGCATATCAAGACGGTGACGGCGCTGCTGCCCATGCGCTCTCGCAAGAGGGCAAAGAGCATGGAGCGAAGATGGAGATGTACAACAAGCAGGCGTCGGAGTTCATTTTCCGAGAAAACAATGCAGGTGGGAGGGTGCCCGCGGATACAATAGATCTGCACGGGCAGTTTGTCGAGGAGGCCGAGGATATTCTTGAAGAACGCATCAGATACGCGCAATCGCACGGCCAGACTCACCTGCATGTTATCGTCGGCAAAGGCAACCATAGCGCGAATCACGTTCAGAAGATCAAGCCTCGCGTGGAACAAGTTTGCCAGCAACTCGGCCTGCAGTATTCTACAGAAGAGAACGAGGGCAGAATATATGTGAAGCTTGACGGCAGCCCCGTTGAGCAACATGATATCAATGGCTGGGGAGGATACCAGCACTACCCTGGTCATCAGCAAGGTTATTCTGGCGGCCAACAGGAGCAGCAGTATCACCCGCGGCCACAGCAACATCAACAGCAACATGGACAGTATGACGAAGCAGAAAAAGTCACCAAGGGGTTCCTTCCGAGGCTCATCAACAAGCTCTTACGAATGCTTTGTGGTTCGTAGCTTGGGCTCTCCCGCGTCTTTGCACGTATGCCAACTCCACGGCCAGCGGTGGTCACAGCATGATGGATCGCGACGTCGTTTTGGGGGCATGCAAGCGATTTTCGAGCTGCGTCGTCAGCGCGCCGGTGCCGAGGCGAGTCTTATTCTCGCTTACGAATGCTCGAGACGCGTCCTTGTCGGAAGTGCGTCCGGCGAATCTACAGTCTGATGGGAATCGCGAGCCTTTGATGCCTTTGCACCCGCTTTTGATAAGAATGGCCTTGGCCATTCTGGGCGGCTTGGAGTTACTTGATCTCATCAAGTCATCCTCTGCTTCCAGCCCCGCACCAAGCATCCTGTCAAGCTCCTCGTGGTCATAGGTTTTCGTTCTTTTGCTTTGCGGCAGCAACCCATCATCTGACAGATCCTGACAGAGTTTTCTAACCCCGAAGTGCGCCAAGCTCGTGTCGCCATAGCCAATCTCGGAACGGACTGCGTGCATTCAGCTTCGAAATCAGTAGGATCATTCGATGCGGTCCACGCGAAAACCACCAACTGCGCCGTCGAGGACTAGCGAGCGGCGGCCATGTGTGGGGAAGCGCTGATCGGCTCAATTAGTGCGCTGTGCAAAAGGTCATCCGTACGACCACGAGGACTGTTTTGCAGCGTCCACCGTCGGAAACCGCAGCTACGCCTGGCTCGTCACCTCTTGTGTCGCACGACTGCGATGCGCCATCTGCCGCCATTTGTTGCTTTATCAGAGATCTAGCCACATGTCCAGCTCCATCTCATCCTCGCTACATGCCACGGTCCAGTACGACTCTGCGTAGCTTTATCTCGTCAGCTTGACTGGTGGATCTCCTGGCTCGTCCGCGGTCGATCATCCTCGGTATGACATCAGGCTAGCTGGGCTTCCATACCTGGTTGAGGACCTGCTAGGGTTTGCTTTTGGCACGCGACGTACATAATATCTGCCTCCATGCCCATGTCGACCCCGAGCTATGCCGAACTAGAGCTAGACGAACTTCCGCCGTCTTCATCTCAACCCGCGAGAGCTTCTCCCTGGGAGGCTTCGGAGCCGTTGCTGTCAGGGTCAGAAAGTGCTCCTTCGTCTGCCCACAAGTCATCAGGCAGTGAGGTTACTCTGAGTGGGACTGTGCTTCATTGGCTTCTGTCTCTCCTGCCCAGGCATATCCAGCAACAAGTCGCTCTCGCCATGGGCAGATTCGGAGATTCAAAGGCGGCTGGCCTACTGCGCAAGCTTGAGGTGGACTCAGAGCCCGGCTTGACAAATGCACAGTTGTTTCTAACGAACCATGATTTGAAACCGGTCGAAGAGGCTCGTCGCAAATGGGGAAACTGGAATTTTGTCGGTGTGTACGACCCGGGGCTCCATCCCTTGACGAGAGTTACGCGCTGACGCCATTTAGCCTTTTGGATTGCTGACTCGTTCAACATCAATACTTGGATGATCGCGTCAGCGTCAATTACACAGCACGGTCTTGCGTGGTGGCATGCCGTAAGTCATCCGTTTCTGCGAAGGTGGTCTCGGTTGGCGCAAGAACAAGCATGCATTAATGGTTTCTCGACAGCGGTTGTGCGTGTGGATCGGATATTTTATCGCAGCCTGCTTCATCTGCATGACTGGACGCATCGGCGCCACCTACCATATTTCCTTCCCTGTTGTTTCAAGGGCTTCCTTTGGCATATGGGGTTCACTGTGGCCCGTCTTCAACCGCGCAGCCATGGCGTGCATCTGGTATGGCGTGCAGGCCTGGATCGGTGGTAATTGTGTGGTGTTGATGATACGAGCCATCTGGCCCTCATTCAACAACCTTGACAATACCATGGAAGGTTCTGGGACCAATACGCGCGACTTTGTGGGATTTTTCATTTTCTGGGCTGGCTCCCTTCCCGCGATTTGGTATGTTCGAACTCTCTCTTCGTGCATTTTGCCGGTCTCCCAGTATAGCATTCGCTTCGATGGCGGGCTGTTCCAGCTGAATTCCTCCGGCGGCCCCTCCATAGCAGGTCATACCAAATCCGCATATCTTCTGACAGCTTCGTAGGTTCCCGGTACACACCATCCGCCACCTTTTCACAGCCAAAGCAATCTTCGTTCCCATTGCGGGAATAGCATTCTTCGGATGGGCCATCGGAAGAGCTCATGGAATCGGCCCTATTGTCCATCAACCGGCGACTTCCTCCGGCTCTACACTGGCTTGGGGCTGGGTGTCTGGCATTATGAGTTCAATCGCCAATTTTGCCACCTTGATTGTCAATGATCCGGACTTTGCTCGTTTCGCAAAGAAACCGAGCAATGCGTTCCTGCCCCAACTTCTGACGATTCCCTTCGGATTTGCGGTAACTTCCTTCATCGGCATCATCGTATCGTCTTCGTCAAAGGTCATCTACGGCACTGCTATCTGGAACCCCCTGGATCTCCTGTCTCAATTTCTTTTGGACGATGCCTCATCAGCTGAGCGATTTGGTGTGTTTATTATCGCCGCCGGTTTCGTCCTGGCTCAACTCGGTACCAATATTGCAGCAAACAGTGTCTCAGCAGGTACGGACCTAACAGCCTTGCTACCTCGCTACCTCAACATCCGCCGAGGAGGATACATCTGGTGAGTGACGCACTTCACGCCTGCCTGTGCTGGCATTGCCTGGTCTTTCCCAGTTACTGGTCACCCTAATTCGGTTCTTGAAGCTAACGGCTTTCAGCGCGATTGTCGGGTTGTGCATGTGCCCCTGGAATCTCTTGAGCACTTCGAACAACTTCACAACGTACCTATCATCCTACAGCGTCTTTCTATCTTCCATAGCTGGAGTCATGATTTGCGATTACTATTTGGTCCGCCGTGGATATCTCTCTCTCAAGGACCTCTATTCGGCACGGAAGGGCTCGCCATACTACTTTCATTTTGGCTTCTCTTGGAGAGCGTACGCGGCCTACATTTGTGGCATTCTCATCAACGTGGTTGGCTTTGCCGATGCCGTCGGGACGAAGGTGTGTGTGTTGCTCTGAAGGACTTTCCCCCAGAAAGGGTTTGCGGCTAACCAAAATATGTTTTCCCAACAGGTCCCGATCGGCGCAGTGTACATCTACCGAGTGAATTTTTTCGCGGGGTTTCTGGTCGCCATGGCGACATACTATCTTTTCTGCCGGTGGAAACCCATTCCCGAGACCAGTAGCGTGTGGTGTGAGAAGGGCGACCAAGGTGACCGGCAATTCAGCGTCGTATACGTCGATGGCACCTCTGCCTCGTTTGACGAGGAGAGATCAAGCGGCGCCCCAGGGGATGGGCCCAGTGATGAAGAAAAGGAAGTCGGCTACCGGGACGAGACGCAAACGCGCGATCCGCATGAAGATCCCCACGAGGAGAGTCAAGTTCGATCGAGACGCTGGGCGCCATGGACCAAGAGGAGGTCTTGAACGAGTGAAGGTGTTAGCAAGGTTGAGGCTAGGTCCAGTGGCAATGAATACTACTCGTATAGGTCAATCCAAGGGTTCGTTCGCCCTCTATGATGCACAAATGAGTCTGCACCGTGCACGGCTCAAAGCGCTACAGTGCCCACCCATTCGAATTATGTGGCCAAGGGATACAGCGGATAGTGCTCTCAAGCGATACTACCACAAAAGCCCAACGGTCGGCCTCGTACAATATTGAATTCGACGGCACGCACTCTATCTTCACGACATTATACAAATGAAACCGGCCCGCCGGACTCTTGATTGGGCTTAAGTAGTGTCATCTTGAACCTTCCCTGGTTGGTGATCTGCCTGCCTCTCTGACGTACAGTAAGTAGTCTCTTCATGTTAACATATTTCCTAGCCTGTGCCTGTATCGTTTTGTCGTCGTCGTTGGCCCTTGGGTGGCGTGGCGTGTTGTTTCGCGCTCTAGCCGGGTGCCGGGTCAGACCGTTCTAGTCAAAGTTACGTAGTCGCTCTACTCTCCACTCTCGCCGACGTGCCATCGGTACTGCCTTTGCGACTATATCCCGATGGGAGAGGAGGAGGAGGAGGAGGAGGAGGGACGCCAGATGTTTACTGAAGGTGGGGGTGAGGGTGAGGGTTCAATATCGTAATGACATCCTGTATACTACTTAACTCACACCGGCGGGTCATAGGCCGAACATTCCAATACACGGGGGCACTCGAAATGAAACCAAATGCTATATATGATCTCGAGTGTGGGTCGTTCTCCCTACTCTGCTCGTCTTATGCAGGGGAACATCAATGGTACTGTATCCGCGGCATCAAGGCGGGACGGACAAACATAACCAACCGACCAATCTGCCGCTCCTTGATTCTAACGAACCCCGATAGCTCCGTGGCATCAAAGTTGGAATAATCAATCATCTAGACCACTCGGCCTCTCCCTCGCAGAAAGCATCTCCCAACCCGTGTGCTTCTTCTTTCCTTGGGTCCGCTCGATCTCTCGGACTGCCTCGAACAGGTCGTACACAATCTTGTCGCTGACAGCGCTGTCACCCTTATACTCAGGGTGTGTGAGGACGAAGTTCCGCATCCACTTCGAGCCCGTCCACAATGTACCGTTGGCTCGCTTCCTGATCAGGTCCAGATAGACGGCCAGGCGGCACCGCGTGTCGATGTCGATATTCACGCTGTCGAGATATGATTCCACGAGGGGGATCAGACCAGGGAAGCCGTCCTGTGCGCCGTTGATGATCTCGTCGATCGACAGGCGCGAGTATTCCTCCTCGACAGGACCGAGTGGAGAATCCACCGAGCCGTTCAATTCCTGCGCACCGTTCTGGAGCGTCGACGGCGGGCCTGTCGACGAGGACGGTTCACTGACTCCATTCAGCACCGGCGACTGTACCGGCGAGTGCTTCGGGGTCCTCTTCTTCGGGAAAGGATCTTTCCTGAACCAGAACTTCTCCCTCATGACTGCATCCCTGACGTGCGCCGTTTCCATGTTCTCCGTGGTCCGCGGGATGGGGATGTAGAAATTCAGGTCGAAGCTCAGGATGGCGCGTGTGACAAGGACGATGAACACGGCAAAGGCGGCGTTTTCAAAATCGGTGATCTGGATCTCCATGCTGCGGAACTCCACCCGCCAACCGATATCCGCGCCTGGGGGAGGCGGCTTGAACCGCATGTGCTGCCAGTTTGTGGACTGGATGTTCTCGAAATGATTTGATCCTTCCGGGTCGAGTTCCTTCAGGTCTTCGGAGAAAATCACGATGGGATCGCGGATGAAGAGGTGGGCGAAATGGGTGGCGAGCAAATCGTCCATGCCACCATCCAGGAGTTTCTGTTTCAATTCTTCGTTGACAATGAGATCCGGGTCCATATATTCCTGTCGTAGCCGATGGTCTTGTGCGATGTAGGTGCTGTTGCTGGCATAGCGAGACTTGGGTATCCGCCATCGGTCGTTGTTCAGCGGTTTCTCACCCAGCTCTTCGGCAGTTCTGTCATCGACCGCTCGGGAAATCTGGTTCCACCGCACATCGGTGTCCACGAGAAAGCCCTTGTAAATCGGTGTGGCGGCAGTGATGGCCAGCATGATCGGGCCCAAAGGCGAGAGTTGATCATAAAGTGTCCGACCCTCGCGGATGTTCTTGGCCTGGAATGTGATCTGGAGGCAGCAGCTGCCCATGCCGAAGGCCATAGCGTCCATGTAGACGCAATCTTGCTTGACGGCACCATTCCGAACGTCGTCATCTTCAGGCCAGTTGTGCAGATCGTAGTTGACAGTCGGGTCGTTGAACGGCGACGGTGTGTTCCTGTCTTTGAAAACAGGGACATTAAGCTCGACTTTCCTCCCTCTTCGTGATCGGATATTGGCAGCCAGTGTGGGGAAGCGGATGTGCGGGTTGGCGATCTCATCGGGAACGAACTGTGACCGCAACGCCGGGCCTGAAGGAGGATAATCGGGCTTGATCGTATCCGGCAGACCGAGGCGAGGGAAGGTCGTCAGCGTGATCGGGAATTGGTCAGGGTCCATATGCGCCTTTGCGATTTCGCGGCGCAGCCTCATGTCGTCCTCCACGGCAAGAAGATCCTTGAAGTCGATGCCCCAAGGCTTCCCGGGCGTAGCCTCCAGCATGAACCGGCCGAACTCGGGATGGAATGTGGGAAGGGCACCGGTGGGACTGGGGAAGTCAGCGCGAGGCTCACGACCGGTCAGACAATCCACTCACGCAATGCCATTCTGGAGGTCCGGCACTGTAACATCCCGGCCCGCAAGAGCTTCGTCTTTGGCCAATGCCTTCAACACGTCCGCCTGACACAGCGACAGACGGACCTTTTTCTGCTCACCATCGATTGCGACGACGAGATATTCAATCTGGACAAGGCTCAGTGACCCGGTCCGGCATTCGGCCGAAGGGACCTTACTTCGTCACCCCAAAGCAGAGCATCACGCTCTTTACCCTTGGCCTTGCGCCATATCCCGAGCAGTTGCTTGGACAGCGTCAGTCTCTAGATCTTGTAAAATATCAGCATTTGCAGCGGCAGGTCTTACCTCGATACCCCATTCACGCACTTGACCTGCCGCTTTCTTTGCGTCCGGCCAGTCCAGGGCCGTGCCTAACGCTCTGCAGATTGGATCAGAACATCGGCCGAAGTCAAGCGCAGTTACGACTTACAAAAGACCCATGTCGGAGATTTGGTCGTCAAATGCAAAATTGCAGCCGCAGGAACTGGCCGAGAAGAGAAGCTGAGGAATTCCGTGGTGAGCGGCCGGTCAGTCCATCAAGCGAGGTCTCCCCTTGTTCCGGCAAATGCGAAGTGGTATAGCTGGAGTGCGGAAGCCATTCACGAGACGAGCATGGTTACGCTGTAACCAATCAATAAGAGCTGTGCGTGCCGTCTGTCCAAGAGGCGATCCTGTGTAGACGCCGTGATCGTGACGTTTTCTTATTCAATTTTTGCAGTCACAGAAAAATGGATTTGCGGGCGGAAGTAGCCGCAAGTGGATGAGACGATGTGGATGGGCGGATCCTGTGTGAGCGGCCAAAGTTTGATACCTTCTCAAGTACAAGTACACGCCACGGTTATTTAGGCCGATGGCGGTGCAAGGACACCGACAGCCGAGAAAATCTCGCCATCGATCACTTGCACGCTGACTGCGGACGCATGGGGTGAGAAGGCCTTTGACGGTCGAGGCACAGCACATATTCAATGATTAGTCATCCGGACCGCGATTGACGCATTGATACCTCCACATGCCGGCTTGTGTGGGATGCGACGGCCACGCTCGCAAAGATAATGCTCTGTTCTGCTCTGCATGTCCGGTGATATCCGCTCCGACGCAGCAGTCCGAAGCGCTCACTCCAATCGACCGCAAAACGTGGGGGACGTGAGAGATGACCTGCATCTCATGCACCGTTTCAGCAATCGTACCGGCTGAGTCGAAGTTGTCGCTTCTTTTATAGCAGATCGGACCGGATCAACTACTTAGTGCAGTGACAGTATCGGCGTCAGACCGAAAACGAGCTCTGACTAGGCAGAGACTGAGACCAGAAAGAAATGCTGTTGGCGGTTCTTGACGTACGAATGCTGACATTCGAAACACACACAAATTGCAGCTGAACAAAGCACCAGACCACGTGACTTCTGCACCTGCAGTCGTCTTTTGCAAGTCGTCCTCGTTGTATGATATAGACTCTCGTTGCGCCGATCTGTTCTGCTGGAGTCGCTTCTGCGTCAAGTCGCTGAGAGGGTCTCTTCTCAAGGCTTGACATTCGCTGCCTGACTGCCTCGACGCCAACCAATGCAGCACGTCCGTATATACAGCCAAAGCGGTCCTACCGCACTGGAAAAGGGCCCTACTGTTCTCGCTTTATTGCTCTAATGTTCTCTGCTCATTCGCCCTGGTTGCCCGGATCTCATCCATCTTCGCGACTCGCTTCTTGAATTCCTCGTACTGGCATTTCTCATAGCTGTGTCGTTCATTCTGTCACTCATCACATCAGTACATATGCTCACTGTTTTCCGATATAGAAATGCTGGGCCAATCTCTTGCTGATGCTCGGAAAATGGGGAAGAGAACACACCTCACACTTCCACGGCAAGAACCAAGTGTCGTGTCGGCATTTATTCAGTGGGATCAAAAGGTGTGCACAGCTGTCTCTGTAGGCGAGGGGTAGTCGGGCTTCGGACATGGCTTGTCTGGATGCAGGAGCTGTGACATTGAATCCGGTGATGTTAGCTTCTAATCGAAATGTGCTCGGTGCTATGTTGAGGTTGCCTCAGGCAGACGACAGACATACCGGCGCCATCGCCAAGGCCGACGACCTCCTTAACTGACTCTACGACCGTCATTTTGTGCGGCCGGTCCTCAGATCAAGTGCGCTGCGGAGTTCTGGCAGGGTATGGAGCTCAGCACGGCGAGATGTGATGTACTGTGTAGCTGCGCCAAATGGGGGCGACTGAAGCACTCGGCCAGTAGCGCAGTAGTGCGGCGGATCAATAGATGTTTTCGCGCAGTGGGTTTCCGCCGGACTTGTTTCTGAGTCTAGGTTGTGTACAAGTACAGCGCACGAAGGACGCCATGCAGCAACAATGTACTCCGTACGGAGTCCAATCCCAATCATACTAGGAGCCACTTCATACTGCATTCCCAGAGAGACGACAATCTATCTCGCACAGAGGCCATATTGCAGAAATCTCCAGGCCAAAATAGCCTGTTGCGTCTAAAACCGCAGTCCTTTCTGTACAGTACATACCTCACAAATACCTTCACCCACGTGCAGCCGTGCCACTTTCGCGCCGTGCGGGCGTACTCTCTCTCCGAATCCTCCGTACGCCTTGACCACTCGCCCGCCCGCAAAACGTCGTTGCTCTAGAAGTGACCTATCATATGCGCCCCCGGGGTATAAGCCGACTCCTTCCTCCCACAGTAAGGACGAGTCTGCGTGACTAGACAGCTAGGTAGGTACCTAGGTACGTCGGTAATAAGTGATGCAGGCCGTGGATTTATGACTCTGACCGCCTGTGTTCTTGAGTCGCGAGTCTACCTGCCTGACTGTCCGTCCGCTCATCTTCGAATATACGCGTAATACATATTGCAGATACGCGGTCGAGTCGCGGTCAAGAGAGCAGTCAATTCTGTCGAGCTGTGGGATCTCCCTAATCCACGCCGAGCCAGCACTGGATTGTGTGGCACGCATATACAGTACACACGGACGTCTGCCATTTCGAGACAGCTCATCTTCCCACAAAGACTCCGTACACTCTACCTGACAATGCCCATCACGGAATTCCAAGAAGTCAGCGCAACGTCCCACCTACCACTCTCCTTCCCCCCATCCTCCCCGGTATGGTTTTCTAACATACGCCGCAGAAAGTCTACATCCACCTGCTTGCCATCCCGCCCGGCAAGGTTAGCACCTACGCCGCAATTGCCAAATCCCTCTCCAGCAGTCCCAGAGCAGTTGGCGGTGCGTTGCGCAACAACCCATACGCACCAGAGGTGCCCTGCCACCGGGTGATCGCAAGTGATGGATACGTCGGTGGGTTCAAGGGCGATTGGGAGAAGGCACCCAGTGGAGTGAATCAGACCATGAAATTGAAATTGTTAAGCGATGAGGGGGTCCAGTTCACCGACGAGGGAAGGCTTGTCGCAAAGGATGTATGGTTTACTGGACCGTTTGACATGGAGAAGGGCCGGACGGCATTGAAGATGGCGATACAGCAGCGGCAGAAGCCAAAGCACGGATGATTTGTGATTAGTTTGTATAGTGATTTTGTTGTATGATGTTTCTGATCGATAAGCCGCGCAAGTCTATTGCACATGGAACGCCCAGTAGCATCCGCCAGGCTTACTTCCCCTGCTGTCAAGTCCGATATAACCTGCCCCTAACTTCAAACGCAATGAAAAAAACCAATGGTTCTGGTGCACATGGCTTTGCCAACAAAGCCGAGTCCGAGGATGTTTGCCAACTTCCCTCAATGTGCAAATTCAACGCTTCCATGGCCCGTCAGATTTACAACAAGGTCGCGCCAAAAAATGTCGACACGAGGACAACAGCAGCACAAATCATCGGAGCGAAAGACCATTCAGGAGCCATGACGGACGCCGCGGCATTGCCCGAAGCAGTCGAGTCACTGCCAGAGCTGCCAGTTTGCGTGGCCTGTCCACTGCCTTGAGTGGCGGTTCCAGTAGAAGCACCACCAGCATTCTGCGACCCAGGACCATCGAGACCAGGACCAGTTCCGGCGCCTTCAGTCATGTACTTTTTAGCACCGTCTGGAATGGCTGGGAGAAGGTCATCCTTGACGAGCCAGTTGGGGTCGGAGAAAGCAGGGCAGCCAGAAGCACCGCCAGTGGAGTTGTAGCCACCATCACCTTGAGGATTGGCGGTATTGGCAAACTGCTCTTGCAGCACACCGAAGTCGGGCAGTTCAGAGATAGAGTTACCGTTGATCTCAACCAAGCCGTAGTTGCTGGGTTCCTGCGAATATTCATAGACCAAGCCACCAGAGTAGACGGGGGTCATCTGGGTGCTGTACAGAGCCTCGACTTCACCAAAGTCACGGGTGTTCGTATTGCAGCCGTATTCAGACAGGAAGATTGGGAGACCATAACCGGTGAAGTTCTTGACCTTTTGGTCCCACCCAGAAACGGTGAAGGTTGAAGGAGAACACCAGGAGTAGTCGTTGAAGGCGAAGAAGTCGGAACGCTCGTCGTCCGTACCGCAGTTCATGTACTCGGCCATCTCCAATCGGTTCTCTGCAACATCGGCTGCCGAGTAGCCGACGGGAATCGTTCTGTAGCCGCGGTTGCGGATATATTGTCGGATGTCGCGAGTGACAGCCTTGACATATGGAGCAGCAGCAGATGTTTCGGGGTCGTTGATGACTTCATTGCCGGAGAAGAAAGCCAAGGTGTTGCTATAGCCGTGGAAGGCATCGATGGTAGCAAAGATGCTCTGGAGGTATACATCGTTGTATGACGGGCCAGGGTCGGCTCTGTTGAGAGAGTACTTGGGGGTATTGACGTCCAAAATAAGGTAGATGCCAGCATCTGCCAGTGCATTCATGCAGGTGTCATGAGACGCAGTGTTGTCGACAGTGTAGACGCGAATCGCGTTGATGCCCAGCTTCTTGAACTCTTCGATATCTCGCTGGCAGCCCGCTTCGTCAGCGATGGGATCGGCCACGTCGGAGGAACCGCCAGGTTGGTAGTCGACGCCACGAATGTAGAATCGGTCATTGCCCGCAAAGAAAGCTTCATCAGGGTCAGTACACGTGTAAAACGCAAGGACGCGTGGAACACACCATTTCCCTTGACCGAGACGGAGGGCAAGCTGCTTTGTCTCTTGACGGAAGCGGCAGAAGCAGCACCGGCGCCCAAGGCGAGCGTCGCCAGTGTCGAGGTACGCATGGTGATCGGTAAGTGAGAAACCTGAGGATATGGAGCTCTCTCTTTCTTGTTTTCCAGACGAATGCAAGGCAAGGGGGCTAGAAATGAACTCGCAGTTGGGAGAACAAAAAGTAATTGAGGTCGGGACCCAAGAGAATGAGGAGTTCCCAACAGAAGACAGAAGTATTAGAAAGGGATAGCGAGGGAGGAGCGACACTCAACGTCGAGTGACTGCTCAGTCTTTGGGTGATGGATGGTGAAGGCAGGAAGGAAAGATGCACGATGCACAGTGCATGATGAAGGCAGGATATTCATGGCAGGAGCGCGCCCAGCCAAATGCGCTCCCAGTTGACGCAGGCAGGTTGGATGAGCATCACAGCCCCTGCACTATTTAGTGGGGTTGCCCCTGTTTGATCCCCTCTTTTGATCCCCCAAGCCTGGGCTTCAGCCACTCAACGCTGCCCACCATCGGATGGCTTGCAGATACAGCTTCTTGATCTTCCCGCATCCGTCTCGGTATGGGGCTCGATTGGCACATGTTTTGAATTGCGCTCAAGGGAGGCTGCCGACATGCAGCAGGCTTTTCCAACCACATTTTGCCCGAACCAAAGAAAATATTTCGCTGGAACTGAGCTCCTGCAATGCCTCCCACCCAGCTTGAAAAGTCGTAATATCTGCCATTCTTGCCCCCGCGACACTGGTGATCGAACCACCGTGACGACGCTGGATTGCGCGCATGCGCGTCGGTCGCGTGCCGAGCAATTGGCTATCAAGACCAAATTTGCCCCAAGCGAAGCGAGCCTCCAGTGTCGAGGCATTCTTTTTGCACAGCCACGTCGATAAACAGGAGCTTGTTTCACGATTACCCCAGCGGCTTGAGATCTGTCTCAGGATTGTTCTCCCATCTTGCCACTGTGCTGTGAGAGTGCTCCTGATTTCCTCAGGGGATTTTCGTCCCCTTGGCTGTCATTCGAGGCTTGATAAATTGACTGCATGGGTGCCTGGCAGATTAAGCCAGGTGAGCTGGTAGTTTGACAGGACGGTGAAGCTGCTGAACCCACTTGTATACCTGTTAATCAAACAGGCTGTCGTAATCCTCCTCCGAGTTAAGAGTATATAGGTCGGGAGAGCGATGTGCTCCTTGGAAAAGTGATGATCGTCCTGACTCGTGAATTGTCTTGTCTTCGGTCTTGGGTGGCGTGTCAAGCGGTGACTGGGTGTTCTGGGGAGAGAACGACACTCGCTCCCGGCACCATTGGTCTGTCCACACTCTTTCACAGGGAGCGTTCATCAACAACAAGCATGCACTGCTGCACTGCTGTATCTGCGAAATCGGTCGCCAACATTGGATCAACTCTAAATTGTTGGAACGAGGGTCCGAGCACGGAGTGAGCGAGGGTCAGATCGAAGGCAAGAAACCAAACATGTGAGTGGCAGCATGCAGATACGAGTCAAGACCACCTACACATTAGTTGATAGAGATAATCTGGTCGATTGTCTCTGCAAGTATACACTACTTGCTACACGCCGCCTGTGCTTGTCACCGCCAGCCCCACCGCCACCTTTGTCCGCACCAAGTCATAGTGTCCTCCCAGTTACCAAATCCCTTCATGTACAACAAGTCCCTTCATGTACACGTTGGTTTCCGACCAGACCGAAGCTCGAGATCGCTCCACTCTAGAGTGATTAAAACGCCAAAAGCTATGCGCGGTAGCAGATTGTTGATCAAAGGAGAGAAATGCTGAGCCGTGTCATCGTTATATACTAGAAATCAAGGTCATATATGCCGCCAGTGAAAGACACCGCCGGGGTTGATCGTTAAGACTTTGGTTCGAGGTTATAAGGCCAGAAAGAGACAGCCTCCTAGACCAGCGAACACGGCGACGAGACCTCCAAGTTTCAACGAGGAACCGACATTCTGCAGTCCGGGGTCGCTCCCCGTGGTAGCGGCGGCACCTGCTGCTCCCGTTGCGTCACCGGTGTCCGTCACTGGAGCATTGACCACCACGACTGACGTCGACGTGCGTACAGACCCATCAGGCAAAGTTGTGTAGAATAGATGGGTGGATGTGCTAGGAGTGAAGTGCACACTCAATGCCGACGATGTGAGGGTGACCAGACCACCTCCGAAGGTACTGAACACGACGGCGCCATTATCTGTCTCGACAGGTGTAGCAGAGGGCGGAGTGGTCGGAGGTACCGTCACGGTGGTGGCTGCAGGGACGGTAGATGCGAAAATAGCGGAGGAGAGGATGGAGGACACGCTAGCGGCGCGAGAGCTTGATTCTGATAGAGCACTGCTTTGAGCAGGAGTCGAGGGCGTGGCTGTTGACGTGGTGGTTGAATTGCTGGCCTGCCTCTTCTTCGCCAGATGTACAAGCTTGCTGGCGATAATTGGGTTTTCAGAGTGAACGTGCTCGATCGCAGCACGGTCCTTGCTGAAGACGCCGTCCTGGAACTTGGGCGATAGCGAATGTAGGACAGAGTGCAGTGCGGCGGGATCGACGGAATCCAGTAATGATGAGAAGAGGTCCCAGTTGTATAGTGACTGATCGTCTGCCGGGGCGTGCGCAGGTGAGCTGAGCGCACCCAGCAGGAGAGTGCCGAAAACGAATGCGTGTCGTAGGCCGACCATGTTGAGCATAAAGATGGACGGCGACAGGATTGGACCAAGCGAAGGAAGGTTCGTACCAAAGAGGTGCAGTAGTGAGTGACAGCGAGAGAGGTGTAGGTTTGAGTGAAAGACGGATGGTGGAAAATAAAAGGCTGGGTGAAAGATATGAAGCCTTCTTCTTCCCCACTGGTGTTGAAGCGAGGGAGTGTCGGAGATGCCACAGAAGAGACTTTGCCCTGGCCGCTGGAAGCTGCGTGCTTGGGTGCCGGGTTGCAGCAGTTAGCGGAAAATCGTGGCTCTGATATGGCCACACAAGCAGGATCTTCCCAACCTGCGAACCCTGTCAGATCAGACGCGGCCAGGCAGGCGGGTATGCAAGTAGTCACGTCGGCTCGGATGACTGGGCCTTGTGTTCCACACCCTGCGCCCGGTAAGGGTGATAGCTCGTGTTCTCTCGAGGTGCCTAGGTAGCTATTGATACACTACTCAGTACTCCGTACAGGACTTAATGCACTCCTCGCTATACAGCACAAGAGGCGTCGTGGCAAGCAATTTCGCGTTTCGCGGTGGTGCTGAGAACCTCGTACGGCTCTGTATTGCACGTGGGCCGGGAAAGAAGCCCACGCAGTCAGTTAAGTCGATGGTTAGCCGAACGGCCAGCTGCCATGCGAGGCTTCACAAGCCTGCTTTACAGCGGAACATCGGATTGAACGGTCCACTGATGATGCACGCCACCATCACCAGTCCGGTCCAGCACCAGCCACCGGCTCTCTGTGTAGACCTGACTGACCTGCTATGCAGACAGCATCCTCTCTCTTAACGTAACATCGTATCCTTACACTCACGAGCTGAGTTAGGACCTGTCGCTGTTGACTGTTACTACACAGTACCCAGTACTGAGTACTTCTACTCGTATGCGCACTCTGCACTACCGTAGAAGGGCGGCTTTTGCCACCGCAGCCGACGAGGTGGAACTTGACCAACAACGGCCAGAGCGGCTCCTTTTCGGTCGTGCCAAGCGCAGCCGGGCGGGGCTGACTTACCTCAAACTGAGCGAATCATGATTCATGCTTCGGGTCGGCAGTCTCGCTGATGTTGTGTCGCGTCTGGCTCGAGTGTTCCATCACGCTCAGTTGGGCTCTACCACACACTTTGGTCTCCATCCCTGCGTCATTGTTCGCTTGCTGCATCAGTGGCTTGCCGATGAAACGTCGCTTCTTGTGCCACAGCCTGTTTCACCGCCGGTCAGTGTGCCGGATGAGTGCTTCCACGCTTGGGCGAAAGTCTCGAGGAACGGCGTCATCGGGGGTTGGTGTGACAGCCGCCTAACAACTCACTTGTGACAAAGTACGGTGAATCGCGAAAAAGTTTGAGAGTGACCTACACGGCAGAGCCAACTTCCCGGCCGCAGTGGTTGCATTGAAAGAGCAATGCAAACTAAATGACTGAGAATGGCGATCACATGTGCGTGTCCATGTTCTGGCCATGGTGAAAATTTCTATTTCTGTCTGCAACCTGCAGATCGCATGACGGGTGTCACTTCGCATGCAACCATCAGCATGTCGACTGGATGAGAGTTCACTGACGTGCTGTACCTTGCATCGTCATCCCAAACCTGCAGAACACCAGCACGGATGAGATACACTGTACGAGTACGAGGCACTCGTACTGGTAACCCTGGCCTGCGCTGGGCAGCAGCCAACAACGCGTCCCGTGTCGAACAAGCACAGCAACCTCTGACCATCTTGGGTGCTATCTTCCACGACTAATTGGTCAAGAGCACGAACATTCGCAGATCCCTCTCCACAACCTGCTCTTTCTTCGCCAATAACCTGCTTCCATCCCAGTGATATCCCTGATCTGCTTACTCGTACAAAGTGCAGGTATACACGGCGGCCCGGGACAGATCGAAGCTCGTCCGTTAGGTCGGCCCAAGAATGTCAGTTCCATACTCCCAGCACCAAATGAAAGGTAACCTGTCGCCTGCCACTCTGTACTTTAGATATGAGAAATTGGCCTTACAGGAGAGACGCTCTTGTGGCGTATTGCCACTTGTCATCAGCGTCATGACTACATCGGGGTGGATCGCAAGGCTGACCGAGCCTTGTCAGAATATTTTGTACTCGTATGAGGTACCGTCTGGGGAGATACTCGTACTCGAGCAGTCGCAGGTACTGCCCGTGGAGATACTCCTGCTCGAGCAGTCGAATTTCGGCCACCTTGCCGACCGTGTATCCGGTACTGTATTCGCAATTGGGGCTCCTCCGATACAGACTGCAATTGACCCAACGACGGAGAACCCCTTTCGCACGATCGTCCGACTGCAGCTCCATGGGCATGAAAATAATGTGTCACCAAGTACACAGTATATCCCCGTGGCATTTCCCTGAAAGACTTTCTGCACCTATTCCGGCCAGCCTTGAGTCATCTTGGCTGTCATCAGCTCCGCCCTCCAGGTCGTCGAGTGCCCGAGATGCAATGACTATGCGCGGCATTGGCTTTCGCAAAGCTATACGCCATGAGCTCACCGAATGTGTCCGACGCGCCAAAAATGAGCACAGTATACGCCTGTGGCAGCTTGACAGCCGAAGGATCCAGCCCTGGCGGCATCGATTTATGGTCAGTCGATTTAAAGTAGTCGACAGCGCGAGGCCGAGAGTCATTTCTCATGACTTGATAAGACGATCGTCGCGCGTATGCGATACCTGTGTAGCTATGTACGATATCCTCCGTGAACCCTCGATGAGCTTGCTCGTCATCAACCGTGGTTCGTTCGGCGAGTGATGCGTCGCGTACGAGTAGCGTGCGAACATCTTTGCCCGCAAGATCAATTGCACAGTCGAATGCTGGACGTTCCTGGCCTTTGTGAAATCGCCAGCCCGTCGCGCACGATATCTTTCAGGCCTGTCGTACCCCGATATTCTTCTGTTCCGTGGCTTTTTCGATGTGTAGAGGGCCAAGACAGGACAAGACTCGACAAGCCAAGCTAAACTGAAGGGAGGATGAGTAGACTAAGGAGAAGGAGAAGGAGAAGGAGAAGGAGAAGGAGAAGGAGAAGGAGAAG